TTCTCTCCCCCATAATAGAAGAAATCAACCCCCTTCCCTCCCCTCCCCCTTCCCAGAGAAACACAAAACAGCATCACCTCAATCACAGCCATCACCCCACTCTACACCTGCACACCCAATCACACCACGACTCACCAACCAACCAACCCATCCCCCCACACCAAAAATTCAAGACATGAACTAAAACCCTACTACCCTAGAATTCCGCAAGATTCGCAGCTCAAGCCATATATATACATCATCCCATCCAAGTTCTCATAATTACCACCCACCACCCATACTCATAGAAATTCCGCTATCAGTGATCATCATCCCATGTTTCTCATCCCCTACACGTCCCAATTCCTCATGTTCTTCAAGACATGACACCGATAAATCCCCTGCTCAACATTCTTCTCAATTTACTGAAAAGGCGAGAGTTTTTCATAAGGGGATTGGAAATTCGGAAAAAGGAGGAAGAAAAGATTTCGAAGACGTGCGGCAGGTTTGTAGATGAATGGGTCGGTCGAGTTTAAGACGATTTTGCTCCTGACCAGCCCTGGTGGGGCTATGTGGATGATCTACTGGAAGAAAGGAGGGAGAACATGTACTTTATCCAGATATTAGGGACACTTCCTCATGCAAGAATCCTGTCCAAGAAGCATCCCGTAGCCAAAATCACCCCTTGAAGAAGCGCAAAAAACCCAAAGGATCACAACATAAACCTCGAAACGATTCAATTCAGTTCAATTCCCATCTATCGGGACACCAGCCCAAATCTAAATCCCAAATAGTCTGTGTAATCTTACCCTTCCCATTCCCAGATCACCATTTAAAGAAAGCCCCTGGGTTTAAAAACATCATACATACAATACATTTCCCCTCCCCCATCCCCAACTGTTCACCTATGAATTTAGGTCAGGCACTACACTGCGTAGCCCCCCCTTCATTCCTAATAATCTTTGCCACCGCCTGCACCAAACTAATAACCATAACCGCGCTGCCAAACACCACACACGCAGCCGCAGGAACCGTCTTCCAACTGCGACTGCTAAGTTTGATGTAGCAAAGCGGCGGCAAGATATACGCCAGCGCACACGCACTCGTCGCGCCAATCAACTCGAACACGGCGCCGAGATCACAAGTCACGAGCGCAAGCGTCATCGCGCTGACGACCAGACTCGTCGTGAAGATTAGGTGGAGGTTCATGTTGAAGGGTTCCCCCGGGAACCAGTATTCGAGCATGACCTCGCGACAGACGAAGGCTTCGAGGGGTAAGGTGGTGAGCATGTTCAGGCCGAAGCAGAGACGGGCTAGGTTCACCATGGTGTTATCCGAGGAGAAGTTGTTGAGGACGTTGCCTTGGGTCTTGGAGCCGAAGGTTAGGAAGCCAGCGAGGGCCATGGCGAGACAGGCGAACATGGAGATAGTGGTGCTGTAGTGGGTTACGCGGGCGAAGCGGTCAATGGTGGGGGTTTTGAGGGAGCCGTAGATTAAGAGGGAGTTGTGGTGGCAGACAAATGCTTTGGGATTGTTAGTGAGAGTTGCATAGGGAAAGGTGGGAATAAGAACGAACCGAAAGATATAACTCCTATTGCTTGGAAGAAACCATCGTTTATTATGAGGAGAGATTTATCAAATGTCCCTCTTGATTCTGCTGGGACGAAGAATCCTTGTATTATGACGGTAAAGAGAATGATCATCATACTAATTAAAGCCAAAGTACTTGCTTTTGCCAACTATCACTTCATCGTCAGCACTTCAGCATCCAAGAAAAAACGCAGTAAGAAAAGAAAAAGAAATGGGATTCCATACCTTAGCAATATCTCTATACAAACTCAGCGGATAACTAATCCCCAGTATGAAAATAACAATGACCGCCCGTCTATTCGCCAACAACCCCAAAACCGGCACCTCCCTCAACCCAGGCCAAATCGCTGTAAAAACATGCGGAATCGTATCCCCCACAATAATCCCAAACGCCACCATGCCTCCGAATGCAAAAGCCCACTGCGCAACACTAATAGCAATCAAGCCCGTCCTCCCAAAACAATGCTCCACGGTTCCCTGGAAGCTATCCCGTCCACTCAACTTACTATTCACAACAATGAGCCGAATCGTCCAGTCGACCGTGATAGTAAGCACCACCAAGAGCAGAATCCCCGCCACCAGCCCAGCCTGCTTGAAAGCATAAGGTTGGCCGATAATACCAGCGCCAATAATCGAATTCGCCATGTTCATGAACGCAGACCTCAATCCGGACTTGGGACGCGACCGTTCTCGTTCTGCCCACGCGTGTACATCCTCATCGCCCCAAGGACTATTCGCCAGCGCCACCGAAGGAGCCTCGATATCCGTAAGAAGGGGCACAATCTGGTTCGACCTGCGACCGCGACGCCCCGAACGTGGAGAATCCGTTTGCTGCCCATCCGCACTCCCATTCGCATTCTCGGTATTGATAGCAGGTAAATCAAACCTCACCCTATTCGGCGTCCTGGGCGTCCTGGTTCCATCATTCGGCGGGCTCTGCGAAGACCTCAGACCGCCCACATGTCCTTCCTGTAACTTGGTTCCCTCTTGCACATCTCCAAAGTAATCTTCGTCCTCGTCGGAACTCCCAGAGAGCAGACCGCGATCTTCTTCATTTATTGCCGCATTGGAGGTCTCGCCATCCTTGCGGATGCTATGTGATTTGGCCTTGGCCATGCCTGTTATCGTGGGAGCATGGTGCGATTCTGAAGTTTGTTGGTTTTTTTGTATGTGTTGCTAGGTAAGCTACGGTGTTCTTTGACGGAAACTTGTTGGACCTGGAACTGCACCCCTGATCCCGCTTATTTTCTCAGCCTCGTGGGTGGGGCCATTCTGCACCTATTTTGGAATCCGGTTTGGGGACGTGGCTTGACAACACCAAGAACGATGTAAACAGACGAGGCTGGAAATTTTGGTTGTATACATTGTGGGCTTCTGGGGGAAATCGTCATAAATTGTCCTCAGCTCTTCAGCGTCATGCTTGGCAAGCAACCTCTAGCGTCACTAAGAGCGAAAGGAAACCGTCGTTTCCGCCAGGCAGTCAAACAAAATATCAAATCGTGTGTGGAAGGAATTAATGTATTAGTTGGTCAATTATGAATACTGCGACCATAGTATGTATGTGTGTATGCATGTACAAACGAGGCTTCTCGCCTCCGCTTCCCTTCATTACTGCTTCATCCCTGCCATGTTCATAGCTCTGTAGCAAAAGATTCTTCTAAAAGCATGATGCCTGGTCAAGGCTCTGGGTATCATCGTAAACATTTCTTCGATTCTATGTGTGCCATTTAAATTTTGTGCATTAGACGAGGAGCATAACGAAAACTGCGCCGACGGCGAATATCGTACTTGGAAGGTCCGCTATCGATCGAGCAACACCGGATTTCTTTGGAGTATCAGTACTCGAACTCTCGGCAGCCGCGGGTGTAACAGCAGTTCCTGTGTCGGAGGGAGTTTGGTGACCATTCACACCCCCATCCTGGCTGGTTGGTGATGTTGCAGAGGTTTCTGAGACAGAAGCCGTGGAACCGGATTGTGTAGCAGTAGTAGTACCAGAGAAATCTGTGGAGCTTGCATTAGATTGTGTTTCCAAAGGTAAAGGACCGGCCGTTGATCCAGTATTAGGGGCAGTAGAAGTAGGGGGGATAGGTGCTGGGGTCGAAGTCGACTCCGAAGCGATTGAGGAGGGTGTTAACTGACCAGTAGACGACGCCGAAGCTGACGAGGTAGTGGGTGATTCAGATGCTTTGGCAGCAAACCCTTTTCAATGTTAATCATAGCTCAATCCAAAGAAATATGATAAATTTACCAAGTCTGGTCTTGTCATAATCGAAAACCGAATAAACATTTTTCAAAAATGTATCGCCAATTAGCCAAGATTTCTCATCCACGACACTAACCCCATAAATATTGCTTGTACAAACACCATCTACAACCGGAGAAACCCAGTCCTTGGGCGAGATGTTGTAGGTATCAGTGCCAAAGGTTACTGAAGCAGACGATTTCGTATCGCACGGTACGGTCCAGGTTGATCCATCGCTGGAGCTGGCTCCTGGAACTAACGCGTGCAATTTCTTGACATCTTCGGGGGGTCCGAATATAAAAGAAGTTCCTGTGTCGATATATGCAACTCTTCCTGTAACTCCAGCCTGAGAATTACCGATTCCAACATTTCCAAGAGCAAGAGCCCAGTCACTCTCCGTATTACCTGCGATCGGATAGTACTTGATATCGCCAGTAAATCTTGTTGTATCAACGTCTCCGAAGGTTATTACACCATCATTGGGTCCATCAGCATTACGATTAATATGAAGTCCGAAAAGGTTGGCTTTGAGGGCTCTTGATGCCGCGAGAGATTCCCAGAAATGAGGTGTATTTCCTTTCGCTAGCGAGAGTCCGAGAATCCCATCAATTGGGAAATGGTTGAAATCATCGCTGGCATATGCAGCAATACCCAACGAAGTCGTAATTTTAAAGCCTGCCATCGCGATAGTATCTTCTCCCATGGTTCCATTGACATTTCCTGAGCCATAATGGATACTGAAAGGAATATTAAGATCCTTGAAGGTTTTTGAGTTGGCACCCCCAAAAGAATTATGGTTCCTACACGAATCTGTGTTACAAGAAGGTCCCATGACCCAACTAGTACCGGCCCCAGTATCAAGCAAAAAGTACACAGGTGTGCCATCAGAACCCAGTGATGCTTGAACGAAATACGAATAATCAGTGCCATCTTGGTAGACTCCCACGGAATTGGGTTGTGAAGGAATTGCTGGAGGGACGACCTTGTAGGCGTTGGCTCTCTTGTCGAATTCCCCCGTTCGGATCGAATGTCGGCCACTGTACTTCTTTTTGAGCCTGTTCGCTAAATCTTTGATGTGAACATCCTTGGCTAGATTGGACTGTTGTGAATGTTAGACATATTTTGAATTCCGAACACTCGATGATATACCTCGGGAGTACGTTGAACAACTCTCATAGTAAGAGGAGGTTGCGCATCACTGCTTTCAGTAGAACGTTTGGCTGGTGAGCAGTCTTTGTCGAGGGTACATCTCCATTCAGGCATGTATGGGAAGAAAGCGTGTGCGGTAGAAGCCAGTGTCACTGCTGACACAATACTTTTGACAAACAACATTTTAAAAGGTCTGAATGAACCACCCTCTTGAGATGCCAAAAAACCCCGCCTTTATCAATTATCGAAGAATTTCTTTAAACCCCTTTGGATACCTCGAGTGACGCCAGTACCCTTGGGATTGAGTTATGTGGGCAAATCAATGCAAGCACAAACCCAGAGACGTGACTGTTTAGAGGGTAACGTTATCTGTTTTGGTATGTCAATCACGGAAATTGCTATGTCGACTCGTCCAGTTCCAGCCACTGCACTAGACCAATTACTTGATTGATTGGTGAGTGATCAATTAAATCCTTGGACGGTGAATTCATAGAATCAGATCTGAAAGACGCGTCTATTACCAAAGCATTTGGCAAATCTGAAGGCGGAGAGACAGGTAGAGGTGTATTGGGTTCAGCGGAGCTTGTCGGAATGCTGCGCTAATTTCGACAGGTGGAGTTGTTCAATGGGTTTAAGAACAAGATAGATTCGGATTGTAGAGCCTTCACTTCTTCTCGGCCGGTTTGGAAGGATGTGAATCACAGTTTCGTGGGTACTCGGCTGGTACGGCTGACGATAGACAGAGTCCCGGACTCTTGGAGATGTAGATTAATTTTATATTCGCAAATTGAACACGGCACCAATGCAATAAGCAGGTCAAAAGACAATTAAGCCGTCAACACTACTATTCTATATCGAAATTCGTGGTTGAAGTGGGGACACGAAGCAAAGGTTCCAAAGCCGAAGACGATTTCGAGGACGCGGTGGGAAATGCAACAAAGGAAGCAATGCAATGCGGAAATATGCAATGAACTACACAATTGAGTCTTTTACAACAACAGAAAGAAGACGAGTCGGTGTTGAGGAGCCTGCGGATGCCAGGACTTGGAGGGGAGGTGGAGGTGGAGGTGGATGGAGGAGTGAAGGAGTGAGGAGGGAGAATAGTGAAGGAAAGTTCATGGCGGAAACTTGGACTTTACAAGGAGTGCACTTGCCTGCTGAGCCTGCATACGCGGGGCGGGGCGGGTACAGGTACTGTAGTCTGTTCTATACGGAGTATGCTTGCTCGCTACGGAGACACTAGCTACACTCATCCAGCGAATCAACCACCGCTGGGGTTTATGTTCACCAAAACCCGCCCGACCACGGGCCGGTGGGAGGCCCTCATCCGGGGCTTGAACGGGGAAATCTCCATCTTCGCTTCCCCAATTGGGTCCTCCAGCTTGCGTGCAGGCTGCAGCAGCATATTTAGCGGATCCAGCGGAGTTGCTGGTGTTATCACGATACTCGTACTCGTAGATCACCATGTCAGCTGATTGAGCGAGGAGTGGAGACTCGAGAGCCCGAGTGTCCAGTCTCCAATATCTCGTGGCCTCTCCTGCCTCTACTTGAGTACAATGACAGGAATTTCACGAGGATCACTCCTTCGCCAACACGCAGGTTGAATGCAATCACAATAAACATACCTAGATGAATTTACGAGCGAGGGGAAACTAGACGCATGCTCCGTCCAATCAGCATGTCATCCCACGAACACCCTCAAGACGCCGACGGGACCCCTTTTTAGGTACATGCCGATCGAGTAGAATACTCTATCTCTACTTCAAGTATGTTGCCCCTCGAATAGTTTCTCACTGCTATTCATTTTGAGTACTCAAGGCGTCTGCTCAAAGTTTAGAATAGTTTGTGTCAATTCATCTTGATTAACACCAAATCTTTGCCCTCAATCGCAATCACAACTTACCGATACTCTCTTCTTTCTCCGGAGTATTTATCTTGGCGAGCTTTTTTGAAACCGCCCATACCACGCTACATTGCAGCGTGGCATCCCTCACAAATCAGCAATATCTCTCCAATCTTGAAGTGGGAAACAGAACACCATATCGACAATGCCTCACTCTCCCAGACAGAAATGTCCTTACAGCTTCAATCTCGCCAATACACTGAAAAGAAATTCCTCAAAATAAGCATAACCCCCAAATCCTTACCGCAGCTACGCTCACTCTCGCCACAGCTCGTGAGCATATTCGTAGCTAAATAACAGTTGATACACTAACAATCCGCATATCGGCTCCCAATCAGCTTCTACTCCCAAATGTGGTTCGCCCGACATATTTCACGTTTCAGACAGAGTTGATATCCAAAACTCTCCTATCAAAGGGAGATCACCAAATCCAATTGCATGTCCTCACAGTCTCCTTGCCCTTGCAGCCTCCAACGATGTCCAATCCAAAACGTCCGTCCACCCAAAGTATGGGGAAGCGGGAGGGGCATACTTCGAAGTAAAATCTCCACAAAAAGTCACGGGTCTTTCCCTCGACACAATTCTTGGAATCCCCATCCCCAGTTTGTTAGTCGTGCGAGGAAAATTCCGTGAGTGAACCAGCCTGCTGCCTTCGCTTTGACCAATGAAAAGTTCAAACTCAAAGACAGCCGCATCTCTCGCGGCCTCGCCATTTTCCTCGCGGATTTTCGCGGTGCGATCAGTGCTGTGGGAATTCGCGAATCATGAAATTCCTGGCCTGTCTGGACAAGAATTGTTCGTGCTCCACGGGCTTCGGAGCCTTTTGTATCATTTTCTTGGTTTGCGAAGAAGGTCGAAAGTGTTTTTGTCACGTGGTTGTGGCCAGCAAGGTTCTTGAGGTTTTCCCTGAGATTTTGATATTCAACCTCATGATCTAATTTTTCCCGTTTCCATCAATATCGTCGCTAAGAAAAACAAGTACACCTTCCGTGCGCAAGGAATTTCGAGTGTGTTTAATTACAACGTCAGACTTAAAGGCTCTTCCATGTGCGGATTTCGCCTAGCCATGTAAAGATAAGAGGTCGTTCATCTTAACCTAACTACAAGACTCGGAAATCCCCTTTGAGGGGTAAATAATTATCCAACAAGAAATCTTTTTTCGTATAAGACAACCAGTCAAGTCACGTAGCTTCCTTCGTTAAGTAAGAGTTATTTGCGTTGTAACCTCAAACATCCTAGCGCTACAATATAATAAGAAGTAACAAGAATGGATTGGATTGTAATACACGACCTTTTCTCGCTCCACTTTATTTATCGTTAATGAGTCATGACAGTTCCTAGTTCAGGTAAAAAATCGAGAAGTGTAACATATAGTATCCGGAAAGCAAACATTTCTATACGTATAACATATTGAATGAAAAGAACTGAAAAGTAGTAAACGCACCACTCATCGAGATTCCAAGCCCCATCGTCCTACAACCCCATATCAGCAGCGGACCCCCTTTCACCTTCCTCACTACGATCGCGGCCCAGCAAGTCTAAGCGAAAGATATTATTTCGTTCGATCTCATATTGACGGGGGGTTCTCGCTCAAGTTGGGCGTTGGGAGCATCTCCTATAACAGTGCCTTCAGGACGAGGATAGGAATGGAGAGAAGATGGGAATAGTGGTCGATTTTGGCTTCGTTTTGAATAGAGAGGGTTTATAAATGGGTATGGGCTAGGAGGACTTGTGTACAGTGTGTACCTAGGTTGCGATTGCGTTGAGGAGGAGAACGCGTATTGTGAGGTGTGGAATGGGGGTTAGTGTTGTTTTTTTATGTTTTGACTGAGATTTGGAGGTCTGTGCCGGGGGGTTTATTCTGGTGGAAAGCACTTATTGTGAGGGTTGAAACCCATGATGGAGGCTCGGGCCATGCCCTCGCTAAGCACTGACCAAAGTCCCCGCTCAGCACTGGCCATTCCCCCACTGCCAAGCAAGTCTCTGCTGTTCCATACTTTTCTGTTCTATTCTTTTGACATCATGTATTCGTTAGGCAGCTTCCTGGAATATTCCAGAGACTCTTCCTCTCTCTATATATAGAGGAAGAGCTTGCATGTATGTAGTATTCACGCACTTCTTAATTGAATATTCGAAACCACACCTTGGAGCTATTCGAGGTCTGGCCTCTCACACTTATCTGCGCCGCTTCTCCTCAGTAAGGTATTTAGTTGTGATCCTGGACCCCGATCTCTTTGGCGGAACTTAAAGGTGAGCGGAGAGATAATTAATACCGGATTTCGACTTCGTACTCTGTTACAGTATTTAAAGCATTTCTACGATAACACACATTTACCTTTTTTTCTTCTCGCTTAAACGTTTTTTCTATGTAGTCGTTACTCGATTGAATTTCCTTTTTGATGCAATTAAGGGAACTGAGCTTCTACTTCAGATTATGGAACGTACACTTCGTGAGTTTAGAGTGGGAAAATAATATGAGCTTACAAGATTTGTGTCGGAAAGAGAGGTTTGTATAGTAAGACTACAAGTCACGGGAGTTGGTAACCATTTCCGGCTCTCTTTTGGTACTCTATGTAAGAGATGGATGTCAAGATCACGCATAACGCATTGACAATATCTAAGGAATTTCCCGCAGACTATAGCGTGTGCCATTCATAAACTTATTTGCCCCTCAGATCTGAGACTCAGGGGAAAAACTCGCTAGAGAAAAGGTGCGCGTTCGGTGGGAATTCCAACGTCGGATGAATTGGGGGGTTTACGTATGGTTTATTCAGTTCCGACGGCGAGAATCTTCTCGATAGTAAATACGTTCGTGGTCTGGTTCTCGCTGGCAATTGCATGTTGAAATTGCATTGAGAAATTGGATTGAGATTGCTGTCCTCTTTTCATCTCTATGTGATTGGGTAATACAGTGTCTCTTTTAAGGTTCCAAATGTCTCCACAGATCAAATGTTTGAGAAGAAGTTAACACGATAATGTATTTGCATAAAACCTTTAAAGGTTTATATATATGCACTCGGGAATCGAAAGTGAAAGAGTTAACCTAGACGTTTGAGATCCCATTTAGACCTGTATATTGCACATGCAAGTTATACAGTCACAAGTAGAATCTCCCATGCTTTGTTTAGCCTGTAGGTATCAACTTTCCACATATTGAGTCGCACAATACTGATTGTGCGCACACGTTGGTATGTTCACCTTTGAGTCTGGAAAGGTTTTTATACCTACATGATACATTCGAGAACTAGAGAAGAAATGATATTCAACCTAATAAACATTCTACTTGGCCAGCTTTTCGAAACAGAGGAGTTCCTTCGGACATTTCGTGATGGTAGTTACCGACAGGAAATAGCGAGTTTCGCTTCATAGACACGATACCATACACAACCCTAACTTTCCATTATTATAGCAACTGCTGCAGAAAATACGGCTCGAACATCCCTTTGAAGACTTGAAAAGGGAAGTATCATACCCAGATACTATGACAGAAGTGGAGTATTGCGAAGGTCTATTTAAGTTAACGGTTCTGAATTGGCGCAGAATCATTCGGTATGTCAGATGGCACACCTTTATTTTGATTAATTACGGTGTCGTTCGGATTGTGGAATTATGGAGATCATCCGACAACAAGTCCAAAACAGAGACCTTCAGAAGATGAAAAAAATGCTCCTCCTCGGCATAGTGTAACCTGAAGTAATGTAGATTCCTTTCGTGAGCGTAGCCAGCTTCGAAGGTACAGCATTTTCGACGGCAAGAAAGTAATTTTCTCGCAATATGATTAGAAGTGGGACTTGATGTGACCTCCCATTGCTTCAACAGACCTCATCGACTCCTCCTACAATGCTTTAAACTTTGGCTATAATGCTTTATAGCTAAACCCGTTTAGAAAGAAGGGGCGTTCCGCGACTCCTAGTAACTTAGTATTTTAACTTTAGCTATATTTTAGGTATAATTAGGGAACGCGTATATATAGGTACCTCGCGACATTTCAAGGTAATACAAGAAGCTATTTATATCTACTCTTACTATTATACCCTTACTATTGTACCCTTACTATCGTACCCTTACTATACCCTCGAACTCTTTTAATTCGTACCTAGCTAGCGGGTTAGGGTTAGGGCTACAAGTTAGGGTTAATAGAATATAAACCTTACTATCGCGTTACGTCTTACCTAGGTGTATACTTTAATAAGGCTACTTAGTGTTTTTTTTAGTACTTTATAACGCGAGTACCTACTTCCCTTATTTGGTTAGCTATTAAGTACTTGTAAGTCCTCCTATAATACTTTACACTTTAGCTATAATACTTAATAGCTAACTAAATAAGGGAAGTAGGCACTCGCGTTACGAAGTACTAAAAAAAACACCAAGTAGCCTTATTAAAGTATACACCTAGGTAAGACATAACGCGATAGTAAGGTTTATATTCTACTAACCCTAACCTATAGCCCTAACCCCAACCCTAACCCGCTAGCTAGGTACGAATTAAAAGAGTTCGAGGGTATAGTAAGGGTACGATAGTAAGGGTACAATAGTAAGGGTATAATAGTAAGAGTAGATATAAATAGCTTCTTGTATTACCTTGAAATGTCGCGAGGTACCTATATATACGCGTTCCCTAATTATACCTAAAATATAGCTAAAGTTAAAATACTAAGTTACTAGGAGTCGCGGAACGCCCCTTCTTCCTAAACAGGTTTAGCTATAAAGCATTATAGCCAAAGTGTAAAGCATTATAGGCGGAGTCACCTTATCCTACTGCTCTTCTTGTAACGCCCAAACTTCGAGCCTTCTAGGAGCACCGGAGACGGAAAAGTCCGATGGGAGACAGAAAAACCAGGTTTTAGTTTATTACCTACTTAGGCCGACAAAGTACTTCGGATATCCCCAAGTACTTATATCAGCCCGTACCTACGACTAACCTTTTACAAGAGTTTAAGCTACCAGAGCTTTCCGCAAGCTGTAGAAAGGTAATGTACCTAGGTAGAGTATGATCCTAAGTTTCACTAAGCTACCTAGTCCTAAAGAACGTCTACAAAATATCTGTTTCTATATATATAACTTCTAAGATATATCCTATACTTCTACTACCTCCCTAAATTAGATGAGCTCTTGCGAATCTCTTAAACTACTATTCCTTCTTTTTATGCTACTATATGCTGTGATCTAAAGACTCCGTGGAAAGACTCTTAAGTCGCTTTGGCCCACTCTCTAAGAACCCGAGAAGATAACATCCTTTCTATAACGCAGAGTATCTCGAGAAAGCTGCGTACCGTTCACCATCAGAGCCTCTCCGGTTCAGTCGCAACGGGTCATAGAACGCATCACCTTTTTTACATAGGGTTATTAGGGTCAACCCTAACCCTTGAGATTCTCGTTACAAAATCACTCGAGCTTTTTCTTATAGATAATGAAGTTCTCGTGATTGATGCTGTAAGAGACCTATCCATTATTCTAGACACACAATCAAAAGTCATTATGCCAAAGTGTTGGCACAAGTAACGTAACTGAATATCCTAGCACACCTGAGCTAAGAAGTACAAAGTGAAATTCATTCTAACCCATTCGTATTACTGATTCGGTTACGCGACGCTATTACATTAACGTTGTCTTGACATAGGTGTATTCAGAGAACTGTAACGACCACTCCTAATACACTACCCGGACAGCCATGATCAAAAACACAAAATCACTTATCCAGGGTAAGCCGCTCCATCACCCCTCGGATCACTGCCCGCAGAATAAACCAAAGTCCCTTCCTCAACATGACATCTAATAACCTGACCTCTCCCGAAAACCCCCCTCGCATACCCGGTAACAATACTAGCCTGATGCCCCATCCTCTTCAACTCCTCACAAACCTGCTCACTGATCCCCTCCTCCAAGAATACCTTCCGCCCATATCCATCCCCAGGCATATACTCAGCACCAATACAGAACCTCGGTGCGTCGAGTGCAGCTTGGGGATTATGTTTGAAGGCCAGCATGTTGAGGAGGACTTGGAGGTGACCTTGTGGTTGCATGAAGCCTCCCATGACGCCGTAGACGGAGTGAAGACTTCCGTCGTGCTTATTGGTTGTCATGGCGGGGATGATGGTATGATATGGTCTCTTTCCTGGGGCAATGGCATTTGGATGTCCGGGGGTGAGTTGGAAGTTTCCTCCTCGATTTTGGAGAACGAAGCCACATCCTTCGGGTATGATACCAGAGCCGAACCCGTGGAAGTTGGAGTTGATGAATGAGATGCCGTTCCCTTCTTTATCGGTGACTGCGAAATAAACTGTGTCGCTGTGATTATGGGCTGGACTCCCGTGATCGTAGACCTTTTCAGAGGCTCTTGTTGGATCGAACAGCTTTGCTCGCTCGGCGAGGTAGGCTTTAGAGATGAGTTCTTTGGTTGGGACCTTGAATTTTGCTGGGTCTGTGACCCACCAACTGGCGTCTGCGAAGGCGATGCGGAGAGATTCGATTAGGGCGTGGAGGTATTGGGTGGAGTTATGTTCTTCCTTCTTGAATTTGGGGATTTTCCCGCTTTCTTCGAGGGATTCGATGATACCAAGAGCCATAAGAGCTACGATCCCTTGCCCATTTGGTGGATGTTCCCATACTTCAACACCGTGGTCGTCTTCATTTTCTCCTTGGCCGGAAATTCCGTCGACGTATGTAGATTTTGTCTCTGCGTAACCCTGGCCTTTGAACACATATGAGATGGGATCAACAGGCTCAGTACCAACCTCTAAATGATGTGTTAAATCATCTAGCTTAAGGAAACCTCCTCGGTCTCTGGTAACTTTGATAATAGCCTCGGCTATTCTGCCAGTATAAAAACCTTTCTTCCCATCTTTTGCAAGTGCTCGGAAAATCTTTGCGAGATTGGGATTCTTGAAAATTTCCCCGGGCCTAGGACCTCGGAGTCCTTTCGAAACCGGATCTTCTTTCAACAGCTCAGAAAAGTTTGGCGATGCCTCTTTCAATTCTTTCTCTCCCGTTCTCCACTTTGATGTTTTAGTTCATTGAAAAACAGGGCAAATCTAGGATGGCTTACCATAGTAGAAGACAACTCGGACACGGGAAATCCCCTTTCTGCCAACTCAATTGCTGGTGTTAATATCTGTTCCATGGAAACTTTTCCACTTCCAAATCTTTCAACTGTATCAACCCAACCCGCAGCGGCTCCAGGTACAGTAACAGCATGAACACTTCTCAATGAAAGCTTTCCGTCTTCTCCGTCTTTGAAGCCAAGATCTTTTCGTATTGCTTCAAGTGTACACTTCATTCCAGAACGGCCCGATCCATTCATAGCCTCAATTTTCTTTGTTTTGGCATTGTAATAGAGACAGAACATATCACCACCAATTCCAGTTGACGTGGGTTCTGTCAAGTTCAACCCAGCAGCTAAAGACCGTTATTACATATCCAACTGATATTGTGCTATAACATACCAACAGCAACAGCTGCATCCTGAAACTATTTAGTAACCCCTTTACAATGCGGGGTGTATTATGAGAAAACTCACAGCCGCATTACCACCAGCGTCCAAGACCCTAAGACCACATTTTGCAGCTAGTGGTTGAGTACAAGCGATCATTCCCTCAGTACTATGTACCACACTTCTACTGGGAAAAGACTGAAATTCCGGGTCCGTTTCCGGGTAGACAGAATTGAAATTGAGAGGCATCTTGAATCGATTGGAATTATGGAATGACCTCACAGAGTTTCTAGGGATAAGACGTAAGTGGGAGAACATCTTGTCCTTGCTCTGGAAGTGGCAACTTACCACTTGAGCTTCCAATTCTTTGATAGAGGATGAGAGTAAGGATAAATGGAAAAATCGGGATTTATTAAGAAGAAAAGTCAGAGGAAAGGAGCACAAATAGAGTATACAATGGCTTTAGACCAGGTCGATTTCGGCAAATGGAGGGGTTGATTGCAAAGTACTACTTCACTACTCGTAGAGTTGAATGCACTTAAACATTGGGCCGCGGCAAGGCGGGGGCAAGGGGGCCGGCATGGTGCCGAGAGCTGTGGCGGTGCGGCTGGTGATAATCCCCCAAAAAACATTTGGGATACCATGCCGACGAGAAAGGCGAAAAACACCAATTAAAGCATGTTTGGAGCTCCTTGGGTCTGCAGACGATGCATCAATACATGTTTGAAGCCGGCTAGACGGTGCATGGAGGTGCGGATGCTAAGATTTGCAAGTACAGGTATGCTTGCACCATCGAGCAAATCATAATTATATATTGACAATCAACCAGCAAATAATGGCTCTTTTTCTCCAGTACTGCTTGCGCGAGCGCGTAATATGGCCGCAGAACATGACCGTCTCTCTCTCGAAACGGCCGAATCGTTTGACGCGAAGATAAACAAACGGATTGGGGAACTGAAAGGTGTAACATATGCATTAAAGCGATGGGAGGAAAGCGAAGCGGCGCTGGAGGAACTCCATGCTCTCCTGAGGGACTCTACAACCGATAATGAACTTCGAGAACTTGCTGCTGAAGATTTGGCTTCTACTCGAGCTCAATTGGATACTCTATCACAAGGACTTGCTACAAGTCTCACGCCAAAGCATCCTTTCGAGGAATTGCCTTGTCTGATGGAAATCAGACCTGGTGCTGGGGGCGGAGAAGCTGCGTTGTTTGCGAGTGATTTGCTGAGGATGTACCAAGCAGTTTGTTCGCGCAGAGGATTCCGTGTCTCCCTGATGAAATACGAGAGAGCAGATGGTGATAGCTCCAATGGGACCCCACCTCTCGCAGAGGCCATTTTGGAGATTGAAACTCCTGGAGCATATGGAGAATTTCGCAGCGAAGCTGGCGTTCATCGTGTCCAACGTGTGCCAGCAACGGAAAGTAAGGGACGTACACATACAAGTGCTGTGAGTGTATTAGTCCTACCAAGCTTACCGACCAACGCAAGCGACGGGCAGGAATTATGGGAGACGGACTTGAATGATCCAAATAGTGACTACTATGTCAATGTCACAGATGTAAGAACAGATGTTATGCGCGCGAGAGGAGCGGGAGGTCAACACGTTAATACTACCGATTCGGCTATCCGCCTCACTCATATACCCACGGGTACAGTTGTCAGTATGCAAGATTCTCGGTCGCAGCATAAGAACCGAGAGAAGGCATGGCAGCTTCTGAGATCCAAACTCGCGCAAGCAAAACGGGAGGCTAGAGAAGAGGAGGTAACAAGTATAAGACGTGGGGTCATTGGAGTTGCGAAAATGGGAAGGGAGAATAAAATCCGGACTTATAATTATGGTCAACAGAGAGTGACTGATCATCGCAGTGGAATTAGTGTTCACAATCTTGATGATGTTATGGAGGGTGGATTTGAACTTGATAAAGTGATTGATAGTGTCAAGGTTTGGATGGGGGAGCAGGAGATGCAGGCTCTACTTTTGGAGGAAGAAGATGAAGCGGTTAAGTCGACTAAATCCAAAAAGTCGAAATAAAAGATACCATTCCACTTTCAACTTCTCGATTCTAAATTACCTATGTTATTGTAGTTCATATTTCAGAACCTCATACCGGATTGACTCCTATGATACAAACTCTTTTCAGCCGCCATGGATAAATCCTATATACCCACCAGACTTCAAATGACATGATCACCGCAACAGTATATCTAGATTCCATCTTATGTCACAAACATGCAGGCAAAATGCACAAATCCACTTCCTACACTTCTGTGCCTTCAAATGCATCCGTTGAAAGCATACACAGCAACCGAAGACGTCCTTCTAGGAGTTTCCGCACTGTAGATCCCACGACCCTTTGCATCCTCTTCTGTCTTCTTGCTATAGTCCTCATTTCTTTCACTGCGGGTTTGAAAATTGGTGAGAGCTGGGCGAAGAAGTATGGCAGCGAGGAATTCGATGCGATGGGTAAGCAAAGGGGGGATGGACTGATGAGCCCGCAGGATATTATTGGGGAGAGTGAGTTTCCTTATTTCAAAGTGCGAAGGAGAGTGATGAGACAGGAACTAGCTGATGACGCTTATGAGTATATAGTTCCGCAGAAAGAAGTCATGTTCAAGTTCCCGAGTGGGTATGAGGATACTGGAGAGAAAGGAGATCGGATTTGGGATGAGATGATGCCTCGTGGGTTTCTTCAAGCTCTTTGGAGATTGGATACTGATAGAAGATGTTCTAGTTGGAGCTGGGTTCTTGAGAGTTCCTCACCCGAGGTTGTATGCTATGCCTAGGAGTAAGAAGATTGAGAATGATACAGAGGAGGCGGAGATATATTCTGTGTCTATGACACATCAATTGCATTGCTTGGTGAGTATCCTTTCATCCGGTATAGACAACAGACATAAGAGAGACACCTGAAAACAGGAGTGAGCGAAAACAAACGAAAAAAGAAAGCTAACAACGAATCAAGACAATCCTAAGACATGTAATAATCAAATACGAAAAGAATGATAAATCGAGATTCGCAGGAGCTGGGCATGAATACCATTGTCTTGATTACAGTAAGCAATGCTCCCTCCCCCTTCCATGTACCAAAGTATAGAATTCACGAGAGGAATCAATTCAGTCCGGCAAGCTATTCTCTGCGCAGGAGATACCACGCTCGATCATGCTGAGATTGAATTTACTCCTGATGGAAGGGAGAGGAGATATGGGTTTAATGGTGCGAATGCTACGCATCAGTGTAGAGACTGGGATGCAATTCAGAGGGTTTTGGTTGAGAAGAGGGTGGATGATAAAATTGGGATTTTGTTTTGATTAGAAGGGTTTGGTGGTGATAATGAACATTATTATGTGTTTGAGAAGTAGATTTCTCATTTTGTACAAACTTCAAATGTCCTTCAGAGATGTTTACTTGCAAGCGGAAGTTTCCTCTGCCGTCCGACGGCTCGTTCCTTCCTTCAGAAGGTTTCGGTAAGCTAGGAAGCCCATTGGTCAGACCGCAGTAAGCTTGAGCTTAAAGCCAAACTAAAACAGGAAAGAATCAACAACACTCCGTCCTTACTATTCATATTCTTTACTCGCCTAGCCCTTTTATGCCTTTACCATTTTGCATATCAACATGAAAATTTGCTGCAGATGGCTACTTTCCACACCGATAGTTTTGATAACAAAACTCATGCTAGGTTTCGATATCTAGCCCCTGCTGGAATGCAGTCCGATGGACCACGCGATACCTGAACAAGAAGGTCACACTCTGGTCTCGGCGCATCGTACCTGACGGTGCTTCTTGCTTGCACGAAATATATCCTAGCTTATCGCTGTGCAGCCCGAATCGAGGGACCCAATTCCTCAATCCATCGTCCACCGGAAAAACTTCTAGATGCCGATCATCTTCCTCTCTACCTACAATCCAATCCCTCCCTCCTGTCGTTCGCCACCCCAATAATGAATACGACCCGAAAATAAGAACTCTTTACTTGTTACACTGACTCTGTACCTTAAGTGGAAGGTTATAGTTCTCCGTACGCCACAACCTTTTCATAGTTGGCCCAGCCACTCGGATGGACTTTCGATGGCTCCACAAGCCTGCACAACTAGCCAATCCAGGTACGCTGAGATGGATTTGCTCCTAGATCCACAGATAACTAGGAGGGGCATTGTTCTCTCCCAATACCGTGCACTGGAGTAGAAGACAAGCTTTCTTGACGTGGTTCTTATCAGAAGCTTATACTTCGTAAGTTGGGAGAGCAAGTAGTGACTATTAACGTTAAGCTTCGACTTTGAAAATTGGAAACTTCATAGTTTCTAGAAGGATTGGACACATCCGACAGTGCAGGACAACCTTATGTGAGGACCCTTATTGGGAGAGAGGTACCAATTGTCAATTGACATACGATCCAGTCACATTGTGATACCGGCTAAGTGGGGGTTTGTGCTGCGGAATCCGGGCCTGCAAGGAATCAACGGTTCCTCCTAGGATTGGTTGATTGTGAAAGAGAGGAGAGCAGTTGTAAGTGGATAGTCGGATCTACTTTCGTCATCAAGCTTGCGAGGGAAGTTTCCCCGCCAGTGATTTAATCTCATTCGCTTTAAGTAGAAGCTATGAGGCTCTACTTTCCCCCCTTCCTTCCTTTTCTGCTGCCTTTGCGTTGAGAATCTCCTCCTTTAGAGCTCTCATTGCGTTCTTCAAATCCCTCCTGGTTTTGATCGCGAGCACTCTTTACAATGCGTTTCTCTACCTGTGTTTCTGCTTTGGCGATTGCTGCGGGTGTAGTATCTGTAAGAACCACTGCATCTGGAAGAAGTTTGCAGCATGTTGGTAGGCAAGACAGAGCACACAAACATGTTGCTCGTGAGCCTGTATCAGCACCTCAACACAAGGCTCGTTCGGCCTACTCTTCTCAGTACTACACAAACTCTACCTCAAGTAAGTAAGTTTTCAATTGAGTCAATATACTTAAGCTAACAGGTAAACAGAATACTCTGTGAACGGGACCGCTGTTCCAGAAGTAGACTTCGACATTGGAGAAAGTTATGCTGGTTTGATGCCAATTACTTCGGCTGTCAATGAAACCAGCCAGCTCTACTTTTGGTTTTTCCCTTCAGAGAACCCAGAAGCTTCTGATGAGATTTTGATTTGGCTCAATGGTGGAGTAAGTCAACCATCTTACTTTCAAGACCTCCACTGACATATCTGTACAGCCTGGCTGCTCTTCACTCGAGGGACTTTTACAGGAGAACGGACCATTCATTTGGCAATATGGAACCTTCAAACCTGTCCCCAATCCATACACCTGGAGAAATCTCACAAACGTAGTCTGGGTCGAACAGCCAGTTGGAACAGGATTTTCTCAGGGTATCCCCACAGCCAAGGATGAAACAGATGTCGCAGCACAATTTTTAGGATTCTGGAAGAACTTTGTCGAGACGTTTGCGCTACGAGGACGCAAAGTCTATATTACCGGAGAGTCTTACGCTGGTTACTATGTGCCATATATCGCTGATGCCATGCTCAACAGCAATGATACAAAAGTAAGTTAAGCAGTTGTCCTGGAATATCGGCTGCTAACATGTTTTTAGTACAATGACTTGCAAGGAATCTTGATCTATGACCCGTCTTCAACATCCGATGTTATCCAGACGGAAATGCCAGCAGTGCCTTTCGTCGACTATTGGGGTGGTCTCTTCCCCTTCAACGACACCTTCAAAGCTCAAATCCACAATGTGTCCGATTCTTGCGGCTTCACAGATTACAACAACAAGTATCTGAAATACCCACCACCGGGTCCTTTCCCGCCAACTCCAAGCACCACTGAATATGGTTCAGCAACACACGACTGTCGAGTTTTCGACCTCATCTACGACGCAATCATATTGATCAACCCATGTTGGGATGTCTACCAAGTAGCCACCACATGCCCCCTTCTCTGGGACGTCATGGGATTCCCAGGATCCTTCGACTACCTCCCAGAAGGAGCAAGCATCTACTTCAACCGAACGGATGTGCAAAAGGCCATTAATGCCCCATTAATCGAGTGGGCTGAATGCACACCCAAGAACGTCTTCCCTAACGGAGATGCCAGTCCCCCATCGGGCGTCAGTGTTCTACCCGGTGTGATTGAGCGAAGCAAACGTACCATCATTGCCCACGGTGCCTTGGACATGGTCCTCATCGCCAACGGAACCTTGATGATGATCCAGAACATGACATGGAATGGAGCTCAAGGATTCCAAATGAAACCCTCGGATCCGTTTTTCGTTCCGTACCATAACGAGGCATCGCTTTCTACCATTGCTGCGTCGGGCGTGATGGGTACGACACATACCGAGCGAGGACTTACGTATGTTGGTGTCGATCTTGCTGGTCATAGTATGTTCCCCCTTTCCCCTCCTCCCTCTCCCTGTACTCTTTCCCATTCCTTTCAAAAACTTACACATCTTCTCTTCTCAGTGATCCCTCAATACGCACCCACAGCCGCGTACAGACACCTCGAGTTCCTGCTTGGCAGAGTCGACTCGTTATCCAGTAATGCGCCGTTCACGACCGATTCCTCGGTCCCGCAACCTTCGAATGCGACGATGGGATTGGGTAATGCGGCGATTAAAAGAGGTGTGCCGGTGAAGAAGTGGGGTTGGAATTTGCAGATGTAGATAAAGCCCTTTGGTAAGAAGGACGCTTTAATGAAGTTAATGTTTTATGTCTGGAATGAGATTGTGGTTTAGTACTTCTCTTAACTGTATTAGGGCTGCGGTGTGGTTCAATCAAGTGAAGTGACGGATTATCTAGTATCCGTTAGCGAGAACGCTGATGAGCTTTCATCTTTTATCTTGTAAGCATATCTGAACTACATCACCTCATCGCCACCCTCTTAAAAACATAGAATCTCCCAAAGACATCAAACACCCTCTTCTCAGCCCTCCTTCATCCAAGTAAAAACCCTACGAGTACATCCTCAGAATCTACCATCAAATCCTCATACCCTTTCACCCAGTCCTACCAAACCAACTTCCAAAGTACAGTACCTACATATCAAGATTCCATTCTCAATATCCAAAACACAATTCGAAACTGTGGAACTTACAAAACAGGGTTCGAGATGATTGATGAGGATTTTGGCGGCTGTCTCCTGAATTGTTTGTTTCGATATGGTGAGTAGGTTTGCTTTTTTTTTACTTAGTTTAGGCTGTGTGAATGTTTAACATGCGAGGGTTTAGGAAGCGATCTTGGAATGTTGAGAGGTAGGTAGACATTATTCTCTATCTTCGATTCTCCGTTCGGCGTTCTCATATCAAGAACGATGAGAATGATGGGGTTATACGATATACATAAACAAATCCCTCAAGTCACAAGTGCACTTCCTAGCATTTCATTCATTCAAATTCGTCTCCAAGCCCAAGGTGCTTACAAATAACCAAAAAAACCATCTCAATCACCCACCTATTCACGAGTAAGATGGATTGTGGAACAAGAGAGAAAATTTACTAATCTTTCGTATTTCACTCAATGCTTAGCAGATAAGTGAACATAGGAAGATGGAAAGGCCCAGGAAAGGGTAAGTAAGTCAGCCATTAACTTCCAATACATACCTACTACCTACTACCTATTCACATTAATAATTATCCTAATCATCTACAAGTACTCAACTTTACTACGACACTTAGAGTACCTAAAAAGCAGCCCCATCCACCACCTTCCCAAGCACACCAAGAGAAACCACTTTTAGCACGACAGAAAACGCTTTCTTAACTTTTTCATTCCCTATCTAAAATCACCTTCCAAGCTATGGTATTTCGCACAACAAAACAAGAACCCCCCCAAACGCCACCATGCCATAAAAGTTCTCTTCCTAAACAACCCCCGAGGTCTATTGTACTTCAAAGATATAGTACATTTCCACAATTAATTGCGTCTCAAATTCCCTCCCCCCCAAATTCCATTTTTCCATCCTTCCCTCAAATACGCCCCTCCGATCATCGTCTATCGCTTCTTGGTGCTAGGTCTGGGTTTGCATTCCTCAGGTGTGACGGGGTGCATCATGATTTTATTGGGGTATTGTGGGTTGTTGCTCGCATAGCCCTTGCTCCAGTCGTAGCTTACAGCGTAGGCGAAGATACTTCCATCTTGGTTGAAGGCCGTGGCTGAGATGGTTCCCCCAACGGTCGGGTAGCCCTTAAGTCTGTGTTTGGCGACTCCATCCCAGAAGTGGAAGGTTCCGTCTGAACCAGCGGTGCTGAAGGTGCCGTGGACTGGGTGGAAGGAGATGGCGTTTACAGAGTAGACGTTTGTCATGTTGTTTTGTGGGGGGTCACGGTGACATTTGAAGGAGAAGTTTGAGCTGGGGTTGATTGTTAGCATGGGACTTGAGGAGTTAGTTTTGGAGGAAGCTTGCCTAGCGTCTTTTTCTTCAACATATTGGATCGCACATCTTCCTTCAATACTTCCTACTGCAAAACCTGATGCGTCAGGGAAACAGCTAATCACTCTGGTCTGCCACTTCAAAGGACTTTGGATGGTCTTGTAGATTTTTGAGGGGTCGCCTAGGTTGATAACGTTGATGTAGCGGTCGGCAGTTCCAACAACCAAGAGGTTCTTTGCAACATCCATGGTATAAACTCGCTCCTGGCACTGTACTGTAGCCACAGCAGTAGACTGTCGGAGATCCCAATACTTGATGGTTTTATCCCATGATCCTGTAACTACCATTTCTGCGTTTGAGTTGGCGGGTGTGAAGAATCGGACGGATCGAATTGGCTGATCGTGGGCCGCAACCTGAGTAGCTGCGGATGTTTGTCCAGATCCTAAATCCAACAATCTCGCCGCCTTGTCTGCGCCTGCTGCCACCACCTTTTTGCCATCCTATAATACAAGTTAGCTAGAACGTTTCGCAAAGTTCTTGCGCTTTGAGAGTAGACATACACTAGACCAGTGACAACTCAAAACCGGACCTTGGTGATCAAAAGCTGCCTTTCCCTCTCCTCCCTGAGCATTGATTTCGTAAATGCGAACCTTATTATCCCACGATGCGACCGCAAGATGGTTGCTCACAGGCGAAAAGCTGAGGTCGGCGATGCTGTCTTCTGGTGGACTGTTCAAAGCTATATCCTTTGTCAAATCACCCAGACTATTTGCGGTAGTAGCAGCGCTGGAAGATCCGAAGAGCCCTGACATGATGACTTGTTCTTGCAATCAGAGACTGATGAGACAGGTTGTTTGCGACCGCTTGTGGTTCTGTTCAGTCGGTTTTGCAGATAGACGTCGCTGTGTCGCAGTCCGACCTGATAGCTTTCAAAAGATGCAGCAGGCATCGCGCTTTCCGCTTTCACTCAACACCCCTGCGCGTTCTGCCTAGCCTAGCCCTCTACGGGGAAGAAAAAACTTGCCGATTTGAGGCACAGACCACCACCACCACCATCACCTCCCAACACCACGTCTAAATCATGACTTTTCATTATAATATATACAAATTAAATAGTAGAATAATGTCTAGATAGAGGGCTTAATTCAGGGCATTTTGAATGGTTGTATTGTAGTTTATAGAGGTAAAAAGGGTGGATTTGGGGTTGTCGTAGTAGTGGTAGTCTATGCCTTAGTCAGCAACACGCTAGTGGGGTATTTCAAAACCTTGACTTTTTTTTCCTCCACCTCTCTTTCCTTTCTCCTCAACCCTCTCGCTCAAAGAATCGCATTCGAAGCCCACAAACAGAAAGCATCCTTCGGGGTGCTTTCACCACTTCATGCTTTGGGAGAAAGTCCCCGGACACCCTTCTTCGCGAAGGAACTGCGGAAACGCGCCGCCATAGAAGCACCTCGCGGCTTCTCCTCTCATCAATTCTTCATGTCTCTTTTCCTCCACCTGCATACCGTTCGTACTGCATTCTTACCTTAAGCGGTTAGATATTGGGACCTGGGGAGACCACATGGACGATGATATGAGTCCGCGCTCTTTTAGGAACCGGTATTGCGGTCGTCACTGGGACGTTTGCAGGAGGTGTGTGGACTGTTCTTGGGGAGCTTGGGGATTTTCTGGTGTTTGGAATCTTTTTGTCGAGATCGATAGTTATGCGATTGTCCTATCCTCCATGCAAATGGATGGATGGGGTAACTCGATGGGGCTTATTCTTGATGCGAGGGGTTCACTCTTTTCATTTTTGGGTCCATAGCTTATGGGAAAGCGGACACTGCTTATTCTCGGATCAACGGCAACACTCTAGGCCTTTCCTCATGGAAAGATTTTTGTTGATCTGAGATGACGGTATCAGATGCTCTTTCGAAGGAGCTGGACCGTGGGGGTGGCTGTTTGATATCGATATGATGATCTCCAATACAGAGTCAAGCACTGAAGTAGTCCGTGTAAAAAGCGGTTCTGCGTATTGATGATTCACAACAACGTTATGGTTTCTGATCGATATTTCATTCTTTAAGTAAAGAATGATGGCAAAGTTTTATAGTATTAGATATTTTTACCGAGTATTGTATATAAATATAAAAAATGGAAAAATGTCAAAGACCTTTTTGCATGACCTGAGCCATTCTTTCGTTTGCCTTGTAGCTGCTCTAGTGGTGAAAGCGAGTTATTGTTGAAAATACGCAGTACAAGTTCGATGGATATCAAAGCAGGATAAATCTATTGACACAGTGCTCTACTCGAGTATGGTAAAAAATAAAGGAAAGGGCTTTGACATGTGTTGCAATCACTCCATCTGCCCATTTAAGAACCTTTTTGTCTAATTAGTATTGAATATTATGTATATTATACACATAGTTTTCAAACAAAGACCTTCATGTCTACCACAATGATGTAAACTCCAACAATGCGATCTGTCCATCGAGGCTGTACAATATTCCCAACTCATAAATCGTCCATGCCCATGTATCCCAATCCCTAACACGCCATGGTATTCCCTCCATGCCACATATGTAATGCCATGCCATGCAAAATCCTCCAAAAAAGAAACGCCAATCCATCCATCTATTTTACTCCATTCCATCCATATATATATGTGAAGCAGAAAGAGAAATCTCTCATATCAATCCACCAAGTACAACCCTTCCCACACTGGTCACCTCCTGTTTGACCCCTGTCCTACTGCTATCTTCAAATTCCTTGACAACACCCTGAACAATGATCTTTCGAACTCTGGCATCCGCTTTGGTGAATAGCTCAGCCACATTGGGACTACATTCCCTGGGCGAGGGAATTAAACTCATAAGCTTCGTATAGCAATCAATCAATATATCACAAAGTGTCGCAAACGTCTCATAGAAATCCGGATCAAAAGGTAGTGACGGCGTCAACAGGTATGTATACTCCTCCCCGGGCAACAAATCCGCTTCCCCCACCGCAAAGGACGTCGCGGACCCAGAGCCTGAGCCACCCCCGTTTTGCGAATTCGACTTCATGTCAAACGAGTCGTTCCCCATCGGCAGTCCAATCTCAGCTGCGGAACTGGTGCGGCGGCTCTTACCACCTGATCCTGTTGCTCTTTTGAACATCTGGGGGAAGCGACCTCGTGAGAGGGAGGAGGAGCCATCGGAGGGGTGGATGGCTTGGTAGGATTCGAATTCGGCGAGAAGTGCGTTGAGGGTTCTGAGGAACTCAGTGGCGTTAGAGCCATTGAGGTCGATTATGGTGGGGAGGGAGAGGCCGAGGAGGAGGTAATTTGTTGCGCGGCGGGCAATTTTTCGGTGGTCGAAGTAGGGCATTCGTTGGAGGTCGGGTTTGTTGAAGAGGAGTGTGTTGAACCAATATACACGACCTTCATGTCTATTTCGCAGAGAGAAATTTAGAATCTAGTTCTAACAATTCATAAGGGGATTGCAACTTGGGGATTTACGTACGCTTTCCTCAGATAATCTAGAGTTGATATTCGTTTTGAAGCCGTTTCTTGGATATGTTGAAAGGGGATATTCTCCATGGTTGGACTGGCTGGCGGCTGTGATGGCGGGAAATTGGGGGGTCCATTGGAAGCCCCTGATGTAGCTGGCCTTGCCAGCATACTTTCAAATGGAGCTATCGAGTTTGTATCTGAGCCGGGGGAGTGTAGAGCGTCGGCAGCGGTAGCGTTGAAACTGTCTGCGCTTGACGGTTTTACTGGACGGTTGTAGTCTGGAACCGTCAGGGAAAGTCCGTGGTAATGTGCCGTCCTGGTGTGTGCAGAATTGGAGCGGGCGCGGTTCTCAGGGTTTGCGGGCTGTGAGAGGTTTGCAGGAATTGAGGTATTGCGACCGCGGTGGTAGACTTTGGGTGACTTTGCGGAAAATGAACCCTTGCGACCGAATGGTGCGGAGGCAGATGGAGAGGAAGTGAAGAAGGCAGGATCGCCAGATGTCGAATTGGAATTGGAATGCGAACCGCCGCTGGTCGTTGGTCTGGTTGAGGAGGTGGATGTTTTACTTCCTGAGCCGAATATACTGCCTCCCTTGAACAGACCTCCTCCTCCATTTGAAAAGGACGTGTGATGCATCTCGGCTCGTCTTTTTTTGGCCGGCTGCTAGTACTGTATGCCACTGCCAGTGCCAGCGCTGCAAGGCGCAGACCCGTCCGCTGTTTCCCCACCACACTCCGATGATCTCACAAGGTTGCGGAGGAGATCTCTTCTTGATTTTGCACGGGCAACGATGGCAAAGCGCGATGGTTCGAGATTGAGCGATAGAGGAGAGCGGTCACAGGTGTCAGTCATAGATGAGAAGGAGTCTCCGTTCTTTCATGATGCGTGGCCGTGGTCGTTCCAGATTGGTGGCGCCGACGTCAAAAGCAAAGGCAGGCCAGCGTCAGCAGCGGCGGCTACGATAGGTCTCTCTGGACAGGTCACTTCAACGAAGAGGATCAGGATCAGGATCCAGACCAGTAGCAGGATCAAGACAAGCTCTTGTACCAGTACTTGTACGCGGTTCATGCCGCCATGTATTTCCCATCCCCAGAAAGAACCCAGAAGATCCCCGGAATGGCACCAATTCCCCTCCGCTCTCGCTTAGAGGCAATACAGTACACTTCTCAGATATTGGGCGTATCGCATAGTAAGGGCTCTGGACAGCCTCTAGCGACTTGGGCAGCGACGTAGCGAGGAAGGCCCCTGATGAAGCGAACCTAAAACCCTTCCCTATGCAGATGTTTGTATGCACAAGGCGATTCCGCTCTCTATCTGATCCCCATAATGCCATGATCGCCCACCTGCATCATTCGGATCACGTCCCGATGTGTTCCTGGAGGAGGTTCGAAGTCTCTTTTCTTAGCTTCACCAGGTTTCTTCTCATTGCGGTACTGTATTTGGAGTCGTCCATTTTGGCCCCAGCGGCAAATGCCTGCGGTGACTTGTCTCGAGATGGTGACCAAGACGTGATAGGCGAATCGTCATTTCTAGACTTTACCCCACCATCCCATCCAGGTCCGCGGGGAAACTTTGTGTTCACGTTCCAGGTTGATATTAACACTACTTCAACACCACACAATTCTTGTTTTTGCTGCCATTGCTTTTGCTACTCCGCTCATCATGCCTACACCTCCTAACCCAGAGCAGGATGGACCATTTGGAGACGCTGCACCAGAAATCCTAGACGACCGCATCTGGGTGGACGGTTGCTGGGATTTCTTCCACCATGGTAGGTCTTTGAATCCTTCAAGGACGCCATGCCCGAACCTCACACTAACTTCTCTTCCAGGACATGCCGGGGCGATGCTTCAAGCTCGACAACTGGGTACCGAGCTCGTAGTCGGTATCCATTCTGACAAGGCCATTCTCGAGAACAAGGGACCAACAGTCATGACACTAGAAGAACGGTAAAACACAAGACGTGGATCTGGTGCTTGCTTTCCGCTGATTCCTCTTTAAGAATCTCTGCTGTGGATGCCTGTCGATGGGTCACACAGTCTGTTGCGTACGCCCCATATGTTACCTCTCTTCCTTGGATTTCCCATTACGGTTGCAAATACGTGGTACATGGAGACGACATCACATCAGATAGTAGTGGGGAGGATTGCTACAGATATGTAAAGGCTGCAGGTCGATTCAAGGTGGTGAAGCGAACACCAAGTATCTCGACAACGGATCTTGTTGGCAGAATGTTGCTTTGCACTCGTACACACTTTATCAAGTCCTTTACAAAACTCCTTTCCGGACAAGAAGGTTCTGGCACCGAGGAAGAGAGAAAAAAGGAGGGCGTTGCCATGACGGAAAGAATCCAACAATACGCTACAGATAATACCGGACAAAATCCCGGATCGAGCGTTTGGTTTTGGACGGCTTCTATGGCAGCGCGAGAGGATCATACGGAAGAAGAGAAGGGCGCGTTCAGTCGATTGTGTGAGGGTGCTCAGCCTAAGCCAGGTCAACGGGTCGTATACGTTGATGGTGGCTTTGACCTCTTCTCCTCTGGTCATATTGAGTTCCTCCGACGCGTGATAAAGGAGGAAGAGAGGATCGGTGCAGAAGAGGGATGGTATCTTGAAGAAGCAGTCCAAGAGAGAACAGGGAGAGGCTCCGATTATGGACCAGTATTTGTTATTGCTGGGGTCCATGATGACGAAGTGATCAATCATTGGAAAGGCGTAAACTATCCCATCATGAACATTTACGAGCGGGGCCTATGCTTACTGCAATGCAAGGCAAGTGAGAAAGGTTCCACACGATACAATCGTTGGCTAACTATACTTAGTACATCAACTCTGTCATCTTCGGGGCGCCCTTCACACCAACAAGGGCGTACCTCACGTCGACTCCGTGGGGAACTCCAGATGCTGTTTATCACGGACCAACTAGTTTTATGCCTCTGACATACGATCCTTATACAGCGCCTAAAGAGATGGGCATTTACAAGGAGATTGGATTACATGACTACGCTGGAGTCAATGCTGGACAAATTGTTCAGCGAATTATGAAGAGTCGGGACATGTATGAAGAGAGACAGCGGGTGAAGGGCGTCAAGGGGATTGGTGAGGAAGCTCAATTGAGAAGAGAAAAGATGGAGGCAGAACAGAACTTGAAGGAGAGTAAGAGCGCTGCATGAGGGACGTGACTCGGTGAGTAGTCTTGGTAGGTAGAATACTCTTTGGTTGATTGGATTTTGCATTTGTCTTCGGCGTTCAACACGCGCGGAGAATACCCATTAGAAAAGTAGACGGTTTGATATAGACACATTATTGGGCAATCGAAGATGAGAGATGAGAGATGTGATACTCGTAAATGATGTGAACCTTCAGTTGCGGGATACTCAGTGGGTTAGCGAGACTCTGATTTTCATTGGAGAGATAAGAAGGTATGAGAGGTTCGTCTCCATGAAATATTTTCTGACCGATAACCTTTGTAAGCAGGCTCCAGGGGCGAATGAAATCTCTGTGAAAAATCGAGTACAAAAATAATGGCATAGTACCTGTTTTTTCAACCAATCGCACTCTTGTGCGCAAGTTGTTCCAGGCAGTGGAGGTTTAGGAGATGGGAGGGGTCATGTGCCACGTGGGGAAGCGAGCGGCTTAGGCTACTGTCGGGCGGGCTGAATCCGCGCTTTCAACCTCTGACGAGACATCGTCATTGTTTTCACTATACGAGTACATCTCGACTTTCCACTGCATCTTCCATTCCCTTTCCGCGATACCGGCACCGGCGCACTAGACTTGGCCAAGAAGCGGTGACAACGCCTATCTTTAGTTTCTCAATCTCAGCGTATCTTAGTCTCACATGAGCAGTCCTAGAAACCCCAAGCAATCCAGTCTGTTGGGTGTGATTGCTACACAGCACTCTCGAATATATGACAATTGCCAACCGGCTCGTTGAATATACGAGTACCCATACCCATACCCAGCTCCCTCTCTTCTATTTACCTGTCATACCTGTCACTGCAGCTGAGCCTCTGGTGGCGAATAGCAATTGATGGTAACATTGCCTTAGTTGTACTGGTAGACCCGTAGTAATGGTCAATGGTCCAATACATATATTTAATGTACGAGTACCCACCCTTCAATTCTCCACCGCATGGAGTGAGGGGCCAACCCAACAACCAATGCAGACCAAACTGAGAGAATGCAGCAAGCAAATGCTTGCAAAATCTTTGACAAACGGATAGAGTGGAACCAGGAACGGCTGGTTCGGAAGGGCCATGGGCCATGCATGTCACATTTGCTCATGGCCGCAGATAACCTTGTTGGGAAATACGCAGGTTGGTATTTTTCCAGTAGGCAGGGCAGGTAGTTCAGGTAGTTCCACACCTTCCAGATCATCCATCCGTTTTCATTGGCTCCACTCTCGCTTCCATTGGTAATAAGACTTAAGTCAAGTCCTCTTTTTTCCTACGCTCCTTCAAAAAATCTCTGACTCAATCTCAATTGTTATAAAGACTGTTGTAACCCTCCAAACCTTCAATCTCGCTTCTGATAATTCACCATCACTTCGTGTCTTTTGTTCATTGAGTCATTTGATAGGTTTGTCCCTTTGTTGTTTCCTTCCCCAATACAATTCCTGACTTTTGCCAGAACTCATTTCCCCTCATCCTCAAAAAAATGGCACCCTCCGCTATCACCCCACCACATGCGGTCCAGGAAGCCGCTGAACTCACAGCAGCGGCTGTTGAGAAGAAACTCGCCCAGACAGCTACAGCAGTAAACGTCGTGTCGAAATTAAAGTCCCTCGATGCTTCGAAGTTGATCTTCACCAAGACGAAAACACCAATGAGTGTTCCGGAACCTGATGACCCAATTATCAACACTTCTTCTCAATGTACGGATCATATGATTACCGCAGTCTGGCGATCCACCACTGGATGGGACGCTCCTGAATTGAGACCATATGGCAATCTTTCTCTTGCACCAACGGCATCATGTCTTCACTATGCAACCGAGTGTTTCGAGGGGATGAAGATGTACAGAGGCTATGATGGGAAACTGAGATTATTCAGACCCGATTGCAACTGCAAACGCATGGTAAATCCCCTTCCAATTCCTCCAAATAACTTTACCAAGTGTCATTCTAAACAAACCAAACAGTTAATTTCATCAACCCGTATTGCACTTCCCGGATTCGACCCCAAGGAACTAGAAAAGCTAATCATAGCCATGATCGCCGTCGACGGCCCCAAATGGCTCCCCAAATCCCGTCCAGGAACATTCCTCTACCTCCGTCCCAGCATGATCGGTTCAGCTGGCGCCCTCGGAGTTGCGAGTCCCAAAGAAGCAACTCTCTTCATCATCGCAACTTTCATGCCCAAACTCGAACAGCCTACCGGCCTAAGACTTCTCGCTTCCTGCGATGGAGTCCGGGCCTGGCCCGGTGGGTTCGGGTTCGCTAAGGTAGGCGCTAATTACGGACCGACGTTGATGGCTACGAAAGAAGCTTCGGAACGTGGGTACCATCAGGTTCTTTGGCTGCTTGATGGACATGTTACGGAGGCGGGGGCGTCGAACTTTATGGTTGTTTGGAGGACGAAGGAGGGGGGTTTGCAGCTTGTTACTGCGCCGCTTGATGACAAGATCATTCTCGATGGAGTGACGAGACGGAGTATTTTACAGCTAGCGCGGGAGAGGCTTACTGGTTCATCAGAGAGGTTAGAGGGACTGGAGGCCTTGGAGATTGTAGAGAGGAGATTCACGATGGAGGAAGTCGTTGAGGCTGTTAAGGAGGGGAGGATGGTTGAGGCCTTTGGGGCGGGGACTGCTGTGAGTTTCCCTTCTACCTTCCAATATGATCCCGCGCTTGAACTGACATCTGGATAGTTCTTCGTTGCTCCCGTCTGCGCTATCGGCTACAAAGACGTAGACTACACTATCCCCATGGCCCGGGGCGATAGCGGGGAGTACGCACATCTCATCAAGACCTGGTTGATGAACATCATGTACGGCAAGGAAGACCACGAATGGGGTGTCGTCATCGATGAGAAGGAGGATTTCTAAATCTCTTCCCTTCCTCTGTTTTCTTTCCGTTGAAGTTGGTGGACTTCCAGTGGATGAGTTGGGTGCACCGGCTATAGACTTTGTTTTGTTTTTGTTTTTTCTTTTCTTTGCTTCGCGTAGGCATTGGCGATGGCGTTACATATACCGGTGTTTGGGGCTCTTACAGTACTTTCCTTTCTCCCTGTCGGTATATAATTATAGTGATTAGCACCTCGTACGAGAGCCTGGTGGTTCTACATGCTTGGTGTCATGTGAGTGGCTTGCCACTCACATACTTAAGCTCGTAGAGTACCACCTCTCTCTACCTTTACTCTTCACGAACAAATGAATACACCGATTTAGTTACCCCAACAGAGGGTGATCAGAATCCCGTATTCGCCGTCGTCACGACCACCAGGTCGTACCAACACTCCCTTTCTGAGCGCGAGTGCAGAAAATGAAAATGAAAATGGGTGTTTGTGGCTTTGATGATGATGATTTGGGGGGAGGGGGGAGAGAGAGGGGAAGGACAATACCAATTTTGTCATTGTTGTTGCATGTGTTGTGGCATAAACCTGGGTATTTGGGATACCCATTTGTGACATTGCTATTAGTGGGTGGCTTAATGAGTAGATTGGCAAACACCACCTACCTACCCGCAGAAAAAGAAGTTACCTACGCTACGCAGAGTAGACTAGGAGAAAAATCAGTAATATTTTCCCTTGTACAGTAGTTTGTGCTTCTTTGTATGAAGAATGTGAGGGTTACCTTTTCCGTACAAATCATCTATTTCTTATTTCTCTCGCTGAAAGTAGTACGGATATATATAGCAGGAAGAGAGGTGATTCGGGGAAGGGAGATACTTGACAGTACGGGCTTGTGTCTTTCCTGGGCGAGAGCTTTTTGATGGAGAGGGGTGGTGCGAGTTCAAGGTGACCTGGTAATGTATGATGTGGGGGAGGGAGACCTTGTGTTGACTTGTCCTGGATTTGATTTTGGAAGTGGAATTGGAATTGGAGTTGGGTACTTGCTGGTGTGGGTTTTGATGGCGATACAGTACTTGTGGGAGCTCTTACGATTTGATGTTATCTTGTTGTTTTATTATTAGAGGCTGGAGGCTGGGAGAGGTTCTTGATTTCTTGCGTGGTTGACTCGTTCCACTAGTACTTATAGGCAAGCCCCCGCTTATCTACATCTTATTTACATCTTATTTAAGATCCTAAAACGGTTGTATAGAGATTAAAAGGTATTGGATGCTACGGTTACAAAAGTTTACCCTACTGCGGTTGGAACGTCCTATAGTAGTAGTTCTACGGATTTTACTATGTTGGGGGGTGGAGGGAGGGTTGATAGTAAGTAAGTGGCTATACATTAGTTTAGCCTGTATGTATATAGCACCTTCGGGCTTCATGATATGAACGTGAGTAATGAGTTATTGGGTTGAAAGGGTATTGGGTACTGAAGGTCATGGAGAATTGATTGCATTGTAAAAGGTAGCTATCTAAGGTGTTTATATAAAGAGTGTAAGGTTTAGGCAGACATGAAGCATTGAGGCAGCAGAACTATAAGTGGATCAAATAAGGAAGTGGAGCAAAAGAGAAAGTAGACCCAGCACAACATGAGTCTATTCAATGCCCTTGATCATTGATGTCCCACCTATAGTAATTTAAGGAAAACGTTAAGAGGAACTTTCGGTCTTTTGACACAGATTCAACAACATTCGTATCTTCTGAAATCACATACGTTCTAGAGGTAAGTACTAATTTGTTTTTTATGTTGTAAGTGCATGGAAATATACATCTGTGAACAATGAAGAGAGGAGAAGATACAGTACTTTCCTATATTCGAAACACCTGAAAATATACTCCAGCTATCCCAGAATCCATTCTAGCGCTGCAGGCTTCGTAGTAAGCGCAATTAAGCCACTAAGAATAGACGACGTACTCGACAAAACATCCCAATCTCAGCATAATACCATACTCGAGTATGAAAGACCCATTGATAGGATGTCCATTAAGGGCTCCAACACCAAAATGATGAAACGTAAGGCTAAAGCGAGGGGTTTGGTAAAGGGCTGGGATACGGCTGAGAAGATTGGGGGTTGGAGGAAGAGGAAGGGCACTGTGAATCGTGATGTTGTGGTTGTGTGTGTTAGATAATTAAGCGAGATAGGGTGGGAGACTCAAAGGCTTGGTCATTGCTTTGGGTGGGTTATTGAAAAGTTACAAACAAGTTATTCAGGTTCAGGTAATTAATTTGATTATGCGAGTCTTCTAGGATATTGTTTTTCTCAATAGGTGTCCGCTGAGCAATGACTTAATTTATACCTATGTCTATCAATCACCAATTGAGAATATACTGTACTTACTAACAACCCCCATCAAAAACCTTGGACCAACATAATCTACCAATACTTCTTTTGAAAATTGAATACCATTCTTGAAAAGACGTGCAGCAAAACACACAGTTAGATGATCTACCAATACAACACAATAACATCAGCACCTGCTTCACAAAGCGCTTGTCTGGAAGATTTACCACACCTTCGCCCCAAGCCAGTCGATAGGCGGACCAGCAAATATCCCAGCAAAAATAGAAGCAAGGATTGCAGAGAGCCTATCCAGGCGACTTTGGAAAGGGAATACCCGAGGGATTGATGTGTAAGGTAATATTCAACGAACGCCCCGAAGGAGTTTGCAAATACTCTTGTGCTGAAGAATATTGGTGCGTTACCGGCTACTACAAACTATACTAGGGAGCCTCCCTCTAGTGCGAGATTAGATTTGTTTTCTTGTTGGGAGGTTTCATTGGAAGTACTGTATCAGCGTTCTGGATTCTGAGCTGAGGGATCTCGTGGTTGGTCTTGTTGGACTTTTTGGAATTTGTAGGTTTTGTTTGTGGTTGGATAATTGGAGAACTTCTTTATTCTAGGGAAAGTGAGATGTACATACATATACATACGGAATATACGCACTTGTTCCAAAGAGGAGAAAATCGGGACGGAGCGTAGAAGCGTTCGGCTCGGAGCTTTCGGTCGGATGTAACGGTGAATTCATGATTCTGATATTAACATACCTTCTTCGATCATCTCAAACCTTACCTAGAAAGAGAAGTCTTATAAACTCAATCATACAGGTCTTAATAATAATTATACCAAGTTTCTGAGCCCTTGTAAAGTAATTAGGGGTTGTAGAGTGAAGACGTTGTACTCTTACCCCCGAGTAAACGATTGGCTATCCGTGTTGCAGAGCAGTCTTCGCTTACTCGCTACCCCTGACCGCACGTGGGGCCGAGTAGAAAACCAACATCCTCGACTCCGATCGGATTACATCCATTGATATCCAACCTTTTGACAGCACTGAAGAAGTGCATACCGAACTCAAGGCCATCATCACCCAGTCCGTCCGAAGCGGCTATTGATCACAGGAAATTGAGATCTCTGAAGGGAAGCACTCATACTCATGGTGGAATCCGAAGTGCGGCGTAGACGGGCTGTAACACTGTAAGCAACATTAGATAGCCTGAAGTTTACACACTGACATGATACCCTGATAGATCTTGTTCCCTGCGTAGGAGGCGCAAGATTCGCTGCAATCGAGAGAGACCATGTAGTAATTGCATACGGTCCAGGAGCGGTTCTTGTACCTATGAGAGCCAGAACCCAAATCCCCTCCCTCCCAATATTCCTCAGACCCAACGGTCTTCCAGCTCCAGTCATCCAACTCAAACTGAGGTATCAGATACAGCAAACTCCGATCAAGTATCAGCTACCAGTCGTCGGAGCTTACCAAGTTTGGGAGTGACCTCGAGTGCCACCACGCCATCATCATTTTCACACCAGCCATCTATTGGTGAAGTCGACGCATTGAAGCTTAAAATCCAATATCTCGAAGACAAACTGTCAGAAGCTAACCTCGTTTCGACTCCATTCCAAGCTTCTACCTCAAATACCAACCTCACTGAGGTCGCAAAGTCCCGTTTGGGTGGAACCTATTATGTCCATTACGACAACGCCTTACCAGGTCAACCACAATCCGTTGCACGGAGTCTTACACATAAGACCCGTTTACTGGGACAAAGTCACTGGGAAGTCAATGGCATTTGTTTGGTGCGTAATAACATGCACTACAGTGATTTATGAGTCAAAATACTTACGGAAATCAGATACGCGATATTTTTGAGGCAATTGAATTAGCACCTCGAGAATCATGGAGTGGCATGGAGAAATGTAAGGTATTAGCGAGAGAGATCAAGCTCCGTCGAGCACCACCATGGCCCATAATCTCTACATCCAATCTACCATCGAGGGATATTTGTGACAAGTTAATTGAGTGCTACATCCAAACAACCGATTCCATAACTCGCATTCTGCATATCCCCACCTTCAAAAGAGAATACGAAGCTCTTTGGGTCTCCGAAACCCCATCTGACATTGCCTTCCTAACCCAACTGAAACTCGTTCTCGCACTCGGCGCAGTAACCTACGACGAGACCTTTTCGCTGCGGGTTTCAGCTCTTCACTGGGTATACGAAGCACAAGTTTGGGCATCCGACCCTTTCAAGCTACGGGTTGATATCCCATCTCTGCAGTCCGATATTCTCCTCCTCCTAGCTCAAGAGAGGCTAGGTATTAGTGGGCATCTGGATTGGATCTCCATGGGCTCACTGTTGCGAAAAGCGATGTATATGGGACTCCACCGCGAACCAGATCGCGTGCTGCATTCAAGAAGGACGTACGTCTCTGAGATGCGAAGACGGCTATGGAATACAATCTTGGAATTTAACCTCCAGGCGAGTCTGACATCTGGCGGTGCTCCTCTGATTGCTCTTGGAGATTTTGATACAGCTCCACCTGGTAACCTCAATGATGATCAGATCATGATCGAGCATGTAGTTCCTGAAAGTCCAGATACATTTACTCAGATGTCCATTGCACTAGCTCTCCGCACCACCTTTCCACAACGTCTGGCCGTCGTAAAATTCCTCAATGGCCTTACTACCAATAACTCATACAACGAAACACTGCGTCTGGACACAGACCTACGAACCGCCTACAAAAGTCTATACCATCGTCTGCGATCCCTCTCAAGCAGTCTCTCGCCATCCTCCTTCGAACTCTCCGCCGTAGATTTCCTCATACACCGCTACATCTCCGCCCTCCACATCCCCTTCTTCGGACCAGCACTCACCGCTTCCGCCTACGCATTCTCCCGACGAGTAGTCCTCGAATGCTCCCTAAAGATCTGGCGGGCAGCCAGTCCACCAACATCCACCTCAGAGCCATCTTCGATACCTCACAATGCTCTCCCACGCCTCGTAACACATACCTCCGGCTTCTATCCAACAGTAACCATCCACGCTGCCTTCCTCATCTCCATCGAGCTCCGAACCCAACTCCAAGAAGACACCAGTCTCGGTCCCATCTCTCTACGACCCGATCTCCTCTCCATCATCGAGGAGTCTCAAAAGTGGGCTTTACAAGTCCTAGAATCCGGCGAGGTGAATATCAAGGGGTACTTACTCTTACATCTAGTAGCCGCGCAGATTGAAGCGTTAAAGCATGGTCTGAGCAAGGAGGAGATAGCGAAGGCTTTGATAGAGACGGTCGAGAAAGTCGTGGCGACTTGTCTTCCGATGCTGAAGGAGATGTTGGATGTTGCTCCGGCGCAGAGTGCGCATTTAGCGGATGCGGGAGGGTCTGGGCAACTGCCCTTTTCTTTGGATGATTGGAATTTTACCCCAGGTGATGCGGAGCCGATGGCCTGGATGTTTGATGGTTATGATGCTACTTTTCACCAAGAATTATCTTTCTAGTGAGAAATTTGCGGAATACCTACCTACCAAATATTAGAGTACCGCTGATGTGAAGGATATTCTTCTCTATACTCTAATACTTTTCTCACTCCGCTGGTGTCCGGAAGTCAACATCAAGTAGAAGCCACCAAGATGCAAGGCTAATAAACAGTAATCTTACACGAGGTAACTAAGTCGCTTTATAAACACAAAACAGAACCTATTTCCCTCTAAAATAAATCTGCTTTTTGAACGGTTGTAGAAAGAAAGGCGCCTAACACCCAGCCAAGATCGAAAAAAGGAGACCAAGTACCGCAGCATATCAAAAATACAATTGCATCAATCCTCATCACTATCTATCTACCCCAACCACTCTACCATAACCCCAATTAACTCTGATTTGATCGAATCAACTCTGCTTCCCCCGACTCCTGGAAGAGTTTCCCCGCTTCTCCTCAATCTCCTCTTCCTCATCGCTCCCAATACTATATCTCTCCCTATCAATATCATCCGTCGGCGTTCTCACATGCAACTCATCAAGCTCACTCTCATCAAAATCTGCTGCCTCCACATCCCCCCTACTTCCGCGTTTATGTCTGAAGCTCTCAAGTCCCATGCCACTGCGTTCACGCGCACCACCAAGTGACATGGGGGTTTCGCCCCCAAAAAGACTCTTGTAGCCGGGACGTTGACGTCTTTCCTTCCAAACGTAATAACCCCATGCTGCGGCTGCGATGACGACAATGACAAGGACGATTTCTCCAGATTTGTAGTATGCTTGCCATTTCGCAGCTTCCAATTTCGCTGTCTCGGCTTCCTGAGCGGCGGTGCTATTAGGGTGTCCACCAACCGAGGTTTCCAAACCCTTCTCGCCATCAATGCGACTGTCAGTTGGGACTCCACCGATACTGCCAATGTCGACCTTCATAAACCGGTCGAGCATGTCCCTAGTTCTCCGACCAAAATCGAATGGAACCATGTGTGAGGAGTTGTAGAATAAGATGTATGTCAAGTTTCGGGCTTCTTGATAGAAGCCTGCCGCCTGCCCCTCAAATTCCCAGTTACGACGAGGTGCCCATGTGCCTGGAGACAATTCAAACCCTTTTCCACCATTCCATTCCAAGTTGCTGATGAGGTCTTCTGTTCCAATATGGTTGCAAATAAGATCTTCGGCTCCGGAAAATAGAACGATAGGGACCTCCTTTAGGAGCTCGGGCAGGATTTGGATGGATGGTTTTGAGTGCCTTGCTCGGAAAGCACTACCGACTGCACCATTGCATTCAGTCCAGCCAGTCGTTTTCCCAGCATTGATGTGAAGCGCCTCTGTAACATCCTTGCGACGAAGATAAGGCGTGACTTGAGTAAGATCCGGAGGCCAGTTCATACCACAGCTTGGGTATGTGTCAGTCAATCTAATATCGTACATGTTGACACATTGCATCTCGTTATTTGGTCCTTTCTTTTGTGTCTCTTTGAGAATGGACTGGAGTATTTGTTCACACGTGGGTATATCCACCAAATCTTTCCCTCCATTCTCATTCAATGCCGACATGCAAACTGCTTGTTGTGATTCTAGGCGCTTGGCAATCTCGGTGCCATGTTGTATAAGTCCCCTCTCGTATGAGTAGGTAAGGTAAGCTTTGTATTGCTCCTCGGGCGAGATCCATCCATTACCAATCAACATTCCTTTGAGGTTCCATTGATGTTTCGCTCCTTTTTTATTCCTAGCGAGTATCGCCTGTGAGATATATGGGATATGTTGGCCTGCGTAAGATTCGCCGGCAATATAGATCTATGCTTGGTTAGAATGCGAAGTATATAGGTGTTTTGTTCTGTTACTTACATCGTCGTGTTCGTACTCGGGGAACATAGCAAACCACTTCTCTAAGAATGTAACAAACTGTTGCGCCATCTCAGGCAGGTCTTGAAGATAACTATCGGTATTGACATAACTGAAACCCGTCCCGACTGGATTATCGACAAACATAAGATTCGCAAATTCGTCCCACGATCCAGGGTTGAGAGTGAGCTTCGGGCCATGCGTCTGGTCACCAAGTCGGTATGGGCCAACTTCCATCAGAGCACCATCTTCTGAACTACACCCAGGACCACCGTTCAGCCATATAACCGTTCTCTGCTTGTTCGCGATATGTCTATTCTGGAAATGCCAAAAGAACATGTTCCCATTGTGTTCCGGATTTATTTCAACGTGTCTACAGATTGGTTAGTTGGTATAGTTTCGAACAGGAGTATCCAGCTCCACCACCTACCCAGCATGCATCTTCAATAATGGCCCCTCTGGGGCGCCAGGTAGCGAGTGCACGAAATAATCCGCAGCCGTTTGATCTGCTGCCAGGCCCATTGAAGGCATCAGGGAAAAGGACAGCAGTCCTAGCAAAGTCGCCATCTGCGAACCCGATGAGCGTAGCCGCCCGGGGGGGAGAGTTGGGAATCGCATCGTGGATGACGATCCAGTAATGGAGGAGAGAAGTCGAAAAGTGCGCGCCGGAGACCTGAATCTATTTATCCATGAAGTGTCGCCTGCCTGCTGAGAGACCGATGTAGTGAGGATGTGGTCTGCCGCGCTGCGACGAGCTATGAATAGTACGTTGTTCTGGAGGAGCACTCTGCTGCGGTGAATGGATGGAGATATCCGATAGAGCCAACTATTGCGTCTCGGTATTCCCTCTGGAATCTGGTTGAGTTCTAGATGTTCAAACACAAGATGTCGACGCCAGCCTGGAAAAGAGTACGTGGTCCACGGGGTGGTTTTGTTTCGCCAAAGCTTAGCAAAGCTTGCAAGCACGGCGCCACCCCTGTACAGTACCTGTACTGTACTCAAGTACCTAGGCTAGGATGGCAACAACGTTCCCTGACACGCCTGACAAGTCCAATTTTGCAGAGGCCATGAGTCTCTTATAACAATCCCCTTTTCAGTGCACAATACTTACGCCTTCTAAATAAGGAATCCCCGCCAGATCGGAGTCTATTATCCGTCCGGAACAGTACCCGAATAACCAACTGTCCTTTCATTGAGCTTTCATGCACCACAAACCGACAGTTCCGAGCAAAAGGTTCAGTAAGTAGGCAAGACCTATTTCAGCCACAACTGTCACAGTGAGATTCTAGACTTGGATGGCATTTATTTAAGCTTTACTCAAGTACTGTACGGATTTCTATTCGCTATAGTCCTTCCGATCTAACCGAGCAACTATAAAGCGGATCTGCCTTTCGAGATACTCAGGTGACAAGCTCTAGATGTCCAAGTATGCAAACGAAATCCTAGCAGCAAAATACATTTGCAATAGCAAATATATGTGCATTTAGAAAAGATCACCAAATCCCTTTTCGGTATCTTTCTTAATCAGCTCGACCATTCCCTACTCAACATTAGCAATGCAAACAATGTCTACTCAACCAAATGGAGTTTCAAGGTCATTTTTTAACACACGCCCATCTCCCCTCAACGATGTCTTCAGATCACCTTCTTTGAGGACGAGATATTATGCCAAAAGTTAGAAGGATGGAAAGTTTCTTTCCTTACCCCTCCTCGCTTTTGACATGATATTGGAGTCTCTTCCCTACGGGCAGAAAGTCTTCTCAACTATGCTAGGTAAAACGGAAGGGAGCAAGTCTGATGGAAATTTTCCATTACATACCTCTGGCATGATTGGCTTCCCATCTTCTCCCTTGACATATCGAAAAGGCATCTCGGTGCTTTCATTCTTGTTCACCCGGAGTTCTGGATCATCGATATAGTCAATCTTCTCAAGTGGAGCTGTGTGACAGTCAGAATCTGCAAGTGTATCGGTCTATTTATGTGGGGTACTATACTCTTGCCTTGGACAATGAGTCTGGTTACTCTCACAGCAGTATCGGTCGTCATCTGTTTGGGCCCAAGCCGCCGATTCTCATAGCCTTTCTTTCTCAACTCCGATGTCCTATCTGATGATTCTCAGCCAATAATTCTTGCGTTTGACAAGTCTAGATACCTCGCGGCGGGTCATCGCCTTGTTTCTGTCAGCACATGGGTTATGAGAAAACTCGATCTTGAGATCTCACCTAGAATCCCCCCGAACAGGAAAATGTCAAAGTTATCTCCATCCTCGGGGCTCAACCCTTTTGATGCAGCAGGGTCAAGGAGACACACGCGAGCCTTCTGCTCAGCATATATCTCTTCAACACTCTTCCCATCAGCCGTGAAACCAGGTGCCGCCTTCAAAGCTTCTGGTAACGCCAACGCTGAGGGTATCGACGTCAAGCAGAAATTTGCACCCGCCTCGTGAGACTCTTTGGCAATTGTCAAATACTCAAGTTCGGACCAAGGACCCAGCTCATCATCGAGGTGTTCCACGATGTATGTCTTTCCTGCCATCTTAGTGGTCAAGCACGAGGACACTTCCCAAGTTCACTAGAAGTTTGGCCACCAATCGCTTCAGGTTGACGATGCAAATACGACGAATCGGATGCTTCGCAGAACTGCTTGGGGGTTGATGAGGGGTAAAGTCTGTCTACTGCTCTGAAGATCTGAATTTCTTGGGAAAGCTGAGGCCAATGACTCGTGACGGTGACCCTGAAAGAAATGCAAGTATTAAACTCCTAGAAAACAGGTAAGCGTTACGTTAAATGTATGTCTGAGGTATGGTGATTTCGGGGTCTTGTGACCATATCACTCAATGAAGATCTTTTTGCTAGAAATATCTCGATTTGGATCCCGCTTGTGGGAAAAGAAAAAGCCAAGAACTTTCGTGATATAAAAGACTCATAAGACGGGGTACAAGCTTACCTACGTCACCGGTAAGGTTTTGTTGATCGTCCGGGAGACGAACCAGAGCGGGATTCAATGGATGTGAGTGATTCTCAAGAAAATTTGGCGGCCCTGGAAGAACTTGCACGGAAGCTAAGGATGGTTATTGTTCACTAGAACTATGCTAAGCGAGGCCCTTCCTTAAAGTTGGCCGCCAGAACCCCTCCATGCATCGGACATATCCACCACCACCACCCATTTCCACCCTCCTTCTGAGATTGATACACGACCTCACTTCCTCGACCCCATCCATTCTTTCACATCTGGTCACGATTGCAGCACACTTGGCAGCGAAACACCTCCAATCGGAAACACTTGCCACCAACCGATTTTATTGGGCGAAACCAGTAAAGCGGAGCCATCTTTGTTAATGCTCTCTGCTATCACCACGACCCTGCAAGGATAGTGAATTGTTTTGACGACCCAGGCCCTGGTAACAACCACGCAGTTGCAGTTGCAAAACAAAAACGGCTCTTGAGCGACGCTATTAAAGTCTTTGCGTACGAACTCATCTTCGCATTCTTCCCGAGGGACCTCCTAGATCCAGGACTTCCGAGCTTCTTGCACCCGTCCGCACTCGCAACACCAAAGAACCCCGCACCATCACCGTCACGATGAACCCCCACATGAAGAACAAGGTCGACATCAACGTGAGTATATCCCTCTGCCTCATCCCAATACCACCTATTCCACTGCCTAGACAGACACGTGCGAAAGCACCAGCTAATCGTCCCCAGTCGCTCTCCCCAGATGAGCAACGTCTCTTCCGCCTCTACGGCAAACTCCCCTCCAAATCAGACCACCTAGCCAAACACCTCAAGGAGCGCAAATACTTCGATTCCGGCGACTATGCCCTATCCAAAGCAGGCAAAGCCAGTTCCGTCGACACAGGCAGCGTCGGTTCCCAACATCCCCTCCCCGAGAACATCCCTCACCTTTCCTCGCCCGGCGTAGGAAATGCAAGCCAAGGAGGCAGCGGAAACGGCAACATCCTCCACCACCCCGCTCACACGACCGGTTTGCCCAGCGGAAGCCCTGTCAAAGAGAGCAGCTACTTGAACCGCGAGACGAGCGTCGAGGAGTTGGAGGAGAAGGAAAAGGCAGCGGCTGCTAGTACCAGTCCAAATGTTACCAGTCCACCACCTGCGAATGAAGGAATCCCAATTCGAAGATAAGCAAAAGTGGAAGGGGATGGGGCAGAGGTGAAGGCTGTTCAAGCTATGGAGTACCCGGATGATTATTACGATTTTGATGGATCTGGCGTTCACGGGCTTGATTAAGGGATTAGGAGCCTTTCTATGTAAATGTTGCGATTGTCACGAAGGCTGGAATTCACATCAGACCCAGGCAATATTTCCCGAATCTGTAGTACTGCTAGATGCAAATGCTAGAGAGTTCTTTTTTGTACTACATGGCTTGTGAGATTTCTTGATTTATTGATTGCTTTTTTTCATTTTGTTAATCTAAAGTTTTGGTTGACGTGGTGCAAGCAGACATCCTTTGTGCCTGTGACGTTGATGCTTCCCAGATCTGAGACAAGGGAATGTTGACTGCTAGTATTCGTAGCGATTGGGGAATCAGACGATTTGATTTAGCACGATTCCAGCTACGAGGTTGCAGGACATCGAGTTTGGATTATCCAAGCCTAATGTCTTGGAAGGAGAGGCAGAACCCCATCCAGTCGTTCAAACGAGAGCCTTTTTAGCCATCGAAATAGCACCATCGAAGGTCTTGTTTCCACCAATGAATCCTGCAGCGTGTACAAAGACACCTCCGGCAATCCCTGAGACCTCATCCAACTTTTCATCTCTGAATCCTCTCCACGCCTCTGGCAATGGCTTTCTGCTCTCGAACGAATCCATGGTGACTGGGACGCATTGAATTCTCCATTTGGCATCCGGTGCTGGCTTTTCAGGGTACAGCACGTAGAGAACTTTTGAAGTTGTGCCCTCAGTATCCTCCAGGGTGTAGAGATGGTCTTTCCACGGAACAGATTGTCCATCAAAGACAAGGATTCTTCCTTCTGGATCATACTCCAATCGTTTTTTGTATGCCTTATGAACAATATCCCTTGCTGGCAACCATGCATTGGTATAATACTCCAAATCTCTCGAGAACTCCTCGCCCATTCTTGCACTAGCAACCAAGAACTTGTCATCTTCGAACTTCTGTGCCTCGACAACGTCTGAGGGAATTGCGTCGTTCCAGTTCGGATTCAGTCTTGAGACCATGGCACCAAGAGAGAACCCTCCATCACTGAATCGCTTCTCCAGCCCGGCGGCGCTGATGGCTTTTGGGTCGTAGACGGAGATACCATTATCGTGAGCATCCAAAGCCTCGATGAAACTCTGATAGATCTTTTCCCATATGATACTAACTTCCTCTGCGTCCTCCTCGATCCCAAGTTTCTGCGCAATGATTGCTTTCCCAAAGTGCATATACACCAACCCCGCAGACGAGAGCTTCGTAGGGCGATTGGGGAAGGTCGTGGTGAAAGTACGCTGGTGGTGATCATATCGATGAACGGACGCATCGTACTCTCCTCCTACATCGACGACGGTGTGGCATGTCTGGAGCAGGGCTGGGTCTCGAGTACGGATGAGTTGAGAATCTTGGTAGGTGGGGAGGAGGCGGAGCATGTAGACTGCGAGGGCTTCATCGGCGTGGAAATGGCCATTGTGGGTTCCGATACTGACCGGCGAGATCTTGACTCTTTTAGCTGCTGTTTCTGCCATCTTTTGTATGCTGCGAAGCATGCTGCGACGGATTTAGTTTGGTGTGTGGTGTTGTTTGCTACCTGGATATTTTGATATGGATTTCTGTGAGGGGCTACAATTTTGGTGGGGCCGTGGATTTACCTGGTAAAGCGGCACTACGAATGGTTCTCACATTTCATCACGGCTTTCTGAACGACTGCTATGATTTCACACCTACAATAAACTGGAATACCTAAGTAGGTATCCAAAATTTCTGAGAGAAAAACGGACCCCCAAAGAGGCCATCTAAATTACTCTACGGAGTCATTTCACCATAGAGAAAATGGAAATGATATCACGAGACACCTGTTCGGACGGGAGGTAGTATGTACTTAGGTATTCACTGCCACTTTTACATGTGCATTCGTCTGGAGCTGGCCAGTGCGAGCCGCCTGGAAGAGTTTGGAGATAGATGACAGGAGTCTTTCCTCCCACATCGTGAGCTGCTCTCAGTTCTCCGTGTCAACTCTTTCTTATTCCCCCTTGGGAAGAGCTCGTCTACCATTCGCCCAGAATACCAGATTGCGTACAAGTAGCGTGTGCAAAGCACGTATTGGCTCTAGGCACGGAGTCTTCTGCAATTTGGTGTAGCAGCAGCGACAGGGAACCTTACCTGGGTAATCTTGGATCTATCACGACCCCTCGGTACACAGTACATCACACGCGACCGCCATAACGACTGTACCAACTTTCGAGATTCCGGTCACGCAAAACCTGCTGCCTGCGCCTGCCTACTTTTCCAAAAGTCCCCCCGGGCTGTGAACCTCCACTATCACTATCTCTTGCCAAACACAACCAGATACGGTGGTGCGACGTTTCTCTAAGACGACAACCAGCCAGGTCTAGATACACCAACACTGATAGGCGATTTTTGCCCTCACCCTGGCATTTCTTCGACAAGGCAGGAAAACCCGACGACCAACCTGGCAGCAGGCAACACACCATATCCGAAGTCCTCCAGACCTCTCCGCTCTCCTCTCCACGCGTCCTTTCACCTCAGTGTTTCTTGGACGGCCATAATACGAATCTCGTCGTGCTAGAATCTACCAGAACCAAGCCGCGCGCGCTTCAGGGCTCGCTCCGGCGCAAATAGCGCTGATGTGGTTCTTCGGAGTAATTTCGTCTGCCATTTTCCTCCTCTCCATCATCCTCTCCATACCGATTGCTTTCGATGTTGGGGGACGGGATTGCGGGCTGGCGTTTTCCTTGAGTCTGTTTTAGTCCGTATAATTCTTCCACCACCCCAAATTCCTTGCTGACCATGAGGACAGTTTCTACTTTTTCTATTCCACACTGAAGCTAGCTACTCCCGAACGCTCGAGGGGAAGATGGGCTCTAGGACAGTTGATTTCAATATCGCAGTGGATACTGCTGCCAGGGCTTTTGATATGGAGCATGAACAGGTTTGCTGTGGACTCGAACAACAGTGGAGATTGGGTTGCAAGAACCTTCAACCATAAGAGGGCGCAAGATACAAGTGTCAGGGAATGGATATTTGGGGCTGGGGGGCTACTAGAAATGATGACGGTTGGCACATGGGACAAGGTCCTTCGATACTCGACACCATTATTTCAGTTGGCCGAGGGGTTTTGCAGCTTACTTGTGATACAAGCTGCCGGTCAAATTACAAGATGGCTAGTCAACCGTGGACGAAGCGATACATGGATGATAGGGCTATTGGTCTTATCAGCATCCATCATATCTAGTTCCGTCTACTTCCTCTGGAGAATCACCAACTTTCCAGAAATCTCCAATGTGGATGCCAGTCTAATTGGAGTCACAGTCACTTGCGCAGTGTTCCTGTGTGCTTGGGGAATTGGTAGTGGGAGAGGAAACCCGGTGGAAAGTTCACTATTGTTTGCATATGTGGTACTGTGCATGTACCAGATCTTCACCGATTATCTCCCAGCGACAACGATGGAGATTCCTCCAGCTCAACCAGAATTTCCCCCATTTCCACCGATCATTATGGCCTCATATTCGACACTGGTCTATATGCTGTCCACCTTGCCTACGGCAGTACATTCTAGCTTTACGTTTCTTTACGCAGCATTCCAGACGATTACTCCATCCGTCCTAATTTCTCTCGCATATCGCATCTTCGTTTTCTATGCAGCCACTCGTATCATTCCCGCAGTACGGGAATCAGGAGCCCGAGCATTGTCCCAAGAGCCAAGTTTGGATGATAGTGATGGAGCTGGCAAAATCCTCGGATTGCTGAGCTGGTTTAGTCCAAGTATTCTCATCGCTGTATACACCAGTCTGCTCATGCAGCATTTCTCAACCACTTCGGCTGAAGGGAATGATGCCGAATGGTGGACCATGCAAGGCGGTGATACTGGCGGTAATGTTTGGAGATGGGTTAATGTAGTTGGAACGATGGCACTTTATGCCGTGGAACTGTACCTGGGGAAAGAGGATGTGGATGGTTCGCTCACGGGACACTGGAAAACGGACTGATCCAGTCGCAGATGCGGGAAATCGCGCAAGCGATCTTCACCGTCGACAAAACTATGAAGCGGCTATGCCCAAATAGTGAGGGCATGGAGCAAGTATACAGATCATCCCGGAGGTCTAGATATAAAGGAGAAGAAGAGAAGATATAAGGCACCCCTGTTCGGTGAAAGAAAGTAGGCACAGAGGGAATGGAAACATGAAGAGAAAGGCGAAGCGTACCGTGGCACGGTTACTTTGAGGGGGTTTACTTGTACATATGGTACTGAGATACCTTTCCCCCTTTCTCTTTCCTCTTTTTTTGTTGGAGCGATTGAGTTCGGTTGAGAGGGGAAGAGGCGAGATGACTCAGATGAGCGATAAGAGATGATACCCCTTTTCCGGCCGAGAGATGAGTGGAGAGGGAGAGGCAATTTGTATGGTTGGGCCCGTTGGGGATGGATGGATGGGGGGCAGAGGCATACATAAAGTTATGAATGGAATAATCTATGATTTTGGCTCGGTCACTATTATTTGCGATGGCCTTGCACTTGCGTTGGCTTCTTTCTTGTGAATCTTGTCGTCAAGTTCAATCATCCTTGGTTGTTGATGTCGGTATCATGATAGTCTCATGTGCCAATCCATGCCATCACTCGATCACTAGATCACTACTGTAGAGTAGATAGGGCGTACCGTAGCCAAGCGATCTTTCTTCGACGTCTCTTGGCTGAGGCTGAGGCTGAGGCTGAGAGAGCTCCAGCGAGCAGCGAGCAAGTTAGTGGGTCTCTATTGATGTTGTCTTGTTGTTCCTTTCGTGACCCGTGACTTGGGATCACTGGACTTGGGCGGTTCTTGAAGTTTCAAGAAAGATGGAGGTTCTACGAAGTACTTGGCTGGTGTGCACCGTGTTGTGATGTGATGTGCTTGCTTGTCACATGCCTTTGTGACTTTCTCCACTCCAGGGCTATTGTTGGATTTTCTAATCACGTTTCCTCGAGTGGATGGATATCTCCGAATCTTCTTGTGCATCTTCTTTTCCCTTGATAGTTGATTCTTGGGGTTGCTTGTCTTTGTACGACGTCAGTTGACCAAGGACTTGGGATTTTTCTCTCTCGCCTCGTTTTTGGGTTTTCTATACTTGGACTCTTGAAGGTTCCGATGGGGGATTGCTTGGCTGGGAGTGTTGGATGTCGTTTTCTTGTTTTCTGGAAGTGGAAAGACTGGTGGAAGGACTGGCTTGGTTATGTTGGTTTGGGGCTCCACTACCTACTCAGTAATGTCCAAGACTAGGCGGATTTGAGGCGAGTCGAATTGACTGGAGTCTGTAGGCCATCAAGGTGTTGTGAGAATGAGGCTGGGCTGGTTTGGAGACCCTTGGGATAGCCAAAGCCTCATATTTATAATATTTACCAAGAGGGAAGTTGTCGGTAAATCCGTAGAGGCAAGATATACAGAGTATGTTGATGTTTATATACGGTGAAGTAATCATTCGCCGGGGGTGGTCGAGGTCGTCGTGATATCACGGCAGTCAGCCGTACCTCGCAAGCTAACTTTGAAAATGTCCCGGGGCTAGAAGCGCTACTGATGGAACTGGCCAATGATGACTTGGGGTGTGAGATGATCATGATAACGGGTGGTACGGGGAGGTACCGCGAGATTCCGGTCCAGGCCAGCCAGGTTAGGGGAAAGGCTTATCAAGGTTTTCTGGAATAAGCAGATTTCTGTAAGTATAGAAGTAAATATGTAAAGATGTAAAGATGCTTGGATGCAGATGCAGATGGTTTCGGTGAGCGAGAAACTCACCTATCTGCGGATATCAACGGGGACCGGGGGATCCGTGTGTTGTGCAAGCAAGTGCAATTCATAAATGGATTATGAATGGATTATGAATTCGTAGACCGCTGTTAGCTGTGTGCTGGTCATATTCATAATGCATTGCATTCTCCATAACTTTCGAACATTCATAGAGTACACACCGCTTCACAACGCAGATCTCGTGAACTGACGTTGATAGTGGGCCAATCTTCAGAGTTGTTGAATGCCCCCAAGCCTGCCAGGGCCTCCCAAGATTCCCTGCCAACCCAGGATGAATCGGCACAAAACCCCCTCAATCATAATGGGAGAAATAAGCTCCTAACTAGCGTGCAGAGTGGATCTCAAGCCTCTCAACCAATTGGCGCAGGAAAGCTTGGGGCTTTTCCGCAGTGCCTTCCCCAGACCGTCTCACTGGGCGGCGCGGCCTTCCCAAGGTCCCAAGCTTGAAGGGAGGGCTTGTGAGGTGAGGTATCTGTTGAGTGAGGTGATCCCCGATTGCCTTTGTCGAGGTACTACGCCCATAAACGCCCAGTCCAATAGAAGCTTCACCCCCACAGACAACAAGCCTAAAGACTGGTTTTAGCGATTTAGCCTAGCAGTGAGACGGTCGCCAGGAATGGATCTGTACAGTAGCAGTGCCTATTTACTGTACTCGTCCCTGACATCTCCACTAAGGGTCTAATAGGTACCTACGGACTAGTCGTGATATAAAGTCCTCTTTTCCCCTCTTCAATACTTCGTTACGTAGCGCTTACACTTCCTCATTCCCCGACTTCAAGCTTGTGATATCATCACATCACCCCATCTCCATCGCACTTTCCCGAAGCTCACTCTTTCCCTCCCTTTACACAATCCATCCTCAATCAGATAAGAAAGCAAAATCCAGAGTATCAACCGTTGATATTCCATCATCATCATGTCTCGAGTTACACCCCCCGTCACCAAGTTCACCCGAATCATCAAGAGATCCCTCAGCACAACCCCCAACGCAGGCCGTTCATCAAAACTGTTCGAATCCGCCCGCGCCAGCAGCAAATCAGAGGTAAATCATCCAATTCCTTCTTATACCACAATACCAAACATATCAGAATACATACTAACACCCATCCTCAGCTCTCACAAACCGAAACCACCTCCACCCATGGCTTCCACAACCTAGCCTCCCACCGCCCAACACCCACCGTCTACCGCCCCTTAATGCAAGGCTTCCGCACCAACATCCCCAAATCCATCCACACCCCCGCCATCAGCACCATAGAATCCTTCACCTTCCCGCAAATCCCCGCTCTGCACGCCTCCGCCGCCCCCGTCTCTCCATTCAGCATCCGCGTTCCTCTCCTCCCAGACTCGTACACCGCATCGCATCCAGTTGAGACGCTGGATGAAGCGGTCCCACGCAGCGAGATCAGTATCGTGGCCGCGCACCCCGAGAACGTGGTGCCGGTGGCTATGAGCGAGGTTGTGGGTAATGATGGGATGGAGGTGGATCTGGGATTGCTTGCGAGAGGCGCAGGGATCGTGGAGGATGTTAAGGAGGCGGTGAGGGAGAGGGAGATGGGTGTTGTTAGGGAGTTGTGGGGTGCGGTCTTGGAGGATTTGAGGGCCGTTGGACAGAAGGATGTTAGGGTTGCTGTTTAACCTCTCCTTGTCTAGGGGCAAGGGATGAGGGTTGTTTTGTCTTGATATTGCGAGGAAGTCGAGTACGATCGCAGCTGGAGCTGGAGCAGTCGGAAAGACGAACATGGATGGGATGCTTGGGATAAGCTGGTGCTTTTTTTGGGCGTATCATGATGCGATGATGTTTTTCTTGTGCTTTTGCTCGCTCTCATGCCTTTTTCTGGTCTCATTTTGGCATCGATGATTGCTTGTAGCTGGTAGCTGTTTGGGTTTTGATAGTATTGTTTTTTAATTGAGATTTTATTATTACGTGTTTGTTGTATTGTTCTCTCCTTCTGAGTACTGCCTCCCAAATGTGTTTGCAATTAACCATGAGCTGATGTGGACACTTGATTTACCTAATCCATTACGTATGGTGCGTAGTAGATCTCAAGACAGTAACAGAAAACCAGAAAACAGACAACAGCAAACAACACGTCTGAATCTATTCTCCTGATCATCGAACCATCTACATATATATCTCGACCTTAAATCATTGCAAATAGAATAGAGAGAGAGACACAGATTCAACTACAAAAATCAAACACACACACACACACTCATACCCCCATATATCCCGAAAAGTACTCACACTCACACCCACACTCATTGATTTACAGATCTAGATCTAGAATTTATGTATCTACTGTATCGTTCCTTGATCCTGTCTTCTGTCCCCTTTCTAAGCGAGGTGATGTGGACAGGTGAAGGGGACAGGGGGAAGGGGGGATAGAAGGGCTTCTTCTTGTAAACCTAGCAGCCTAGATATTTAACATGAATACTACTGTGCTTAGGGAAGCTAGAGAAGCTACTGTAGGTGCTGTAATCTTGTTTTTTTGGTTTCTTTGGTTTGGGTTTTGAGTGGTTTTTGTGTTAGTTCTTCGGATGGGATGAGGGAGGGAGACACGGGATAGCATAGGTAAAGATGGATGGATGGTCTTGATTATGTAGAAGGTTAATTGAGGAGAGTCTATGGCTTCTGGTTTTGTTCCCTCGGTTCTTTTGAATGGGGCTCGATGGGATGTTTTATATTCATTCCCTTCTGTCCCAGAATCCATAGAACAGAAATGTGGGTGCTTGGGTACAGTATTTTACTTTGAGATGCTCGTCGGGGTGGGAAAATAATCGGGTATTCGAGACTTCGAGTAGGTACCGTAAAGGACGTGGTTTATGAATGGGAATGGGGAAGTAGGATTGGGATGGATGGATGTTCTCTCTTCTTCTTTTACTTTCCGCGTACGGACAAGACTCCAACTCGTCTCCTCGGGGGATTTGGATTCGCGAGGTGTGAGTTCAAAGCACTCTCGCGAATCTAGGAATCTACAGTAGATTGGGGGATAGCTACCGTAATGTGGTGTAGGAGTCGCACAGTACTGTATATTCTGTTGAACGTTTCTTGTATACCCAAGATTGGACGGCTGGAAAGGTATGCTTTTGGGTTTCTGCTGTGGAAGATTTGTGGGTTTGGGAGGTTTAGATATTTGTGTTAGGGACTAGTCTTTAGACCCAAAGGGTTCACTTCGCTACTCTACATGTGTTTGTGATGGATATTTTTTAGGGAGTAGCGAGGAGGGCCTCTATGGAAGTGGTCCTCGGAGAGTCAGTGGAGCGTTGTTTGGGAGTGGATGGTATCCAGCAAGTGTCATTTTCTACTGGGCTAGAAAATCTTCTTGATAGACTTGTGTTGCGGTAACATGCCACGGCAGTTTTGAGTGTTGCAGCAGAAACCGTAGTCTGCGCGGGTATCATATTCTTAAAATCCATATCTATTTTAGCAATCCTCATCTCACCCACCCATAAACCCCCCTACTTCTTCTCCTGCTGAACCAATTGCACAAACTTCGTATGCGAAGCCGTCGCAACCACCGCGCCCACCTCACCATCCACCAGCTTGGACACCTTGATCGTGGTAAAAGCCATACTCTTCCCAACCTTATTAGCAGTCGCCTCAATCTCAATCACCTCATCCACCCTGGCCGTTGCCAGATAGGTGACATGGATATCGACCGAGGCGCCCGTCTTCTCGAGGCCGTGGGTAGCAATTGCCAACCCGCCGCTCCAATCTACAATCGCTGCGGTTACCGCGCCGTGGAGAGTGCCCCGCGAGTTGACGTGGTTGGGGCCTAGGGTGAGGTGGGCTTTGATGCTTCCTTTTGTTGCGGAGATGAGGGTGATGGTTGAGAAGAGGAAGTCGTAGATGGGACTGGAGCCTTGCATTCGTTGCCAGACGCCGGTGACATGTTGTAGTTCGCTTGAGGGGGACTGTTCTAGTCCGCTCGAAGAGAACATTGTGAGGTCGTCAAGTAAGAGAAAAAGAGAGACTGAGGGAGAAGGTATGTGCCCGTAAGGCTGCAGGTGCCTAAAGCGAGAGGAGGGTCGTCGTAATCAAATCCGCACTCGCAACTAGAGAAATGACGTGGTTGGAGTGGAAGCGAATGAATATTGAATAGGCAACCGAAGAAGCCGAACGCATTGGTTGGCCTTGTAAAGTACAGCAGATTCGAAATTGCGGTGCTATTTGTGTAGACCGTACGAGGACTGAAGTACCAGTAGTGTTGAAGGCGCAGGGAGCTTCGACGTTTCTTCCCTGCTTGGCGCTGACGCAACTTGGAGGGGTTCGAAGTTACAGGACAGGGCCAAATGAAAGCCTGAATTGCTGGAGAACGAGGCCTCATCTATAGGTACCCAACTGCGGCGCGCGCTTTTTGGACACATTCACTACACCTCTCCTCTCCTCTCGACTTCGTTCTTCCCAATCATTCTCTTCACTCCACTGCTCTCTGCAGATCCACGCACCAAAAGGGGCAGACGTCCAGTCAAGAGTACCTAAGTATATCCAGCAGCAATACACCACCACCTCCTCGAATCATTCCTCCGCCGCCCCGCAATCACATCACATCACATACAGACCGGCCACGACGGCTTTGACGCACCCCATCTTGTTCGGCGCATTTGGAATCTATGCTATTGGGTTAACCAACCGCCATCATGAACGTAATCAAGCTTGTCAAGTACGCTTTTCCCCGCTGAGATTTCCTTGCATTCAGGGGCTAGACTGATCTGTACAATAGGAAGTACCCTCAGTTCCAGCAGGATGAGATCTTCGGTCTACAAGACGCTTTCCGCAAGTTGGACGTTGACGATAAGGGATACATTGATGAGGCGACCGCGATCAAGGCTACGCAAGCCAGCGAGAGACAGCCATACGATGTAGTCAGACAAGCGTTGAAAGAGGTCGATTTAGACTCTTCTAGAAGAGTAGAATTGGATGACTTCGTCGGAGTAAGACGGTTGAACAATTTCACTCTTGCGCGATATACTAATGTGGATTTTTAGCTCGTTTCAAAACTTCGCGATTCCTCTCCTGCTCAGCAGCGCATGCAAACCGGACCAACAAGTCCGGGTCGTGGGGGAATAGTATCTCAGCAAACAGGGGGAGCACGAGGACATGCTTCCAAGGGAAGTGTTGGTGGTAGTGGACGTATTCAAGTACAAGGATCTTCTGCCAATGTCACTCACACAATCAACGAAGATGAACGAACTGAATTTACTCGTCACATCAATGCGGTCCTGGCGGGAGATCCAGATATTGGATCACGGCTGCCATTTCCCACGGATACTTTTGAGATGTTTGACGAATGTAAGGACGGATTGGTTTTGGCCAAACTTATTAACGACAGTGTACCGGACACCATCGATGAACGTGTATTGAACCGCGCCGGAAAGAAAATCAAGAGCTTGAACGCATTCCACATGACTGAAAATAACAATATTGTTATCGAATCTGCGAAGGGTATTGGTTGCTCGGTTGTAAACATTGGAAGTGGAGATATCATTGAAGTTCGAGAACATCTGATTCTTGGTCTGATTTGGCAAGTCATCCGAAGAGGTCTGCTTGGAAAGATCGATATCAAATTGCACCCGGAACTGTACCGACTGCTGGATGAGGATGAGACTCTTGAACAGTTCCTTAGACTTCCTCCGGAGCAAATTCTCCTAAGATGGGTAAACTACCATCTTAAGGCGGCAGGCTGGCAACGCAGGTAAGCTGCGAAAAAAAAATATGCACACTGAATCTTTACTAACGATTGGCAGAGTTGCAAACTTCTCTACAGATGTTAAAGATGCAGAGAATTACACTGTTCTGCTAGCGCAAATTGCACCAGATCAATGTGACCGTAGACCACTACAAACCAGAGATGTCTTACAGCGAGCAGAGCAAGTATTGCAAAATGCTGACATACTTGGATGCCGAAAATTCCTTACCCCAACTTCATTGGTTGCTGGAAACCCAAAGCTCAATCTTGCGTTCGTCGCAAATCTGTTCAACACTCACCCAGCATTAGATCCAATTACCGAGGAGGAGAAACTTCAGGTTGACGATTTCGATGCAGAAGGCGAGCGAGAGGCAAGAGTCTTTACTCTTTGGCTTAACAGTCTCGACGTTCAACCTCCAGTTAACTCTCTCTACGATGATTTACAAAATGGTACCATTCTTCTTCAAGCTTACGACAAGGTTATTAAGGGATCTGTTAATTGGAGACATGTTAACAAAGTTCCCACCAATGGTTCTGAGATGTCGAGATTTAAAGCCGTTGAAAACACCAACTACGCCATCGAACTGGGTAAACAAAACCGCTTCTCACTCGTCGGTGTCCAAGGCGCAGATATCACGGACGGTCAACGTACCTTGACACTAGGACTCGTATGGCAACTCATGCGCAAAGATATTTCAGAGACTCTTTCCGCTCTCGCCCAACGCCTGGGTAAGCGAGAAATTTCCGATGCAGAAATGGTGAAATGGGCCAACGGAATGACCCAAAAAGCCGGCAAGAACTCTTCTATTCGTTCCTTCAAGGATCAATCGATCGGTACCGGTGTTTATCTCCTCGATGTTCTGGCGGGAATGAAGAGCAGCTATGTGGACTATGACCTCGTTACCCCTGGAAGAACCGACGATGATGCGTATATGAATGCGAAGCTTAGTATCAGTATTGCGCGTAAGATGGGGGCTACGATTTGGTTGGTTCCGGAGGATATTTGCCAGGTTAGAGGTCGGCTTGTTACTACTTTTATTGGTAAGTTTTCGACCCTTGCTCCTACTAAGCACTTGGTACTGTGACATGCAAATTGGAATTCTTGTACTAACTGTGAATAGGTTCTTTGATGGCGACGCACGAGAAGATGGTATGAAGTGGTATGTGAGTGCGGTGGTATTCTGTGTTCTGAGGGGTGGTTCTGAAAGCTTTTCAATTGGTTGACGAATGAATGGATTGTGGATGGATGGATGGGTACGGGGACGAAAAGAAAAATGGAGGGACTTTGTCGTTTTCTTTCCCTTTCTCTCTCTTTTTCTCTTTCTTTTGACATAGCGAAGGCATAAAAAGTGCTGCTGGGATGTAGGTATGCCAGCAAATAAGAATATTTTCCATGGTTCCTCTTTTCTCTATCATTCCTCTATTCCTACAAGGCCCTAGTATCTCTTCTTCTGGTCACTATGACCACCCATTTGCTTTTTATATAAGCTCCTGGTACAGAAAGTGTCTCATTCATGGTTATATATAACTTCTGTCCTTTGAATTAATCTATCTCTTGTCGAAAGAAGGTTATGGGCTCGTAATGCAAGTGGTTCCAAGTAGTGGAAGGAACTTCCCTCGAAGGAACGGCTGATTGGAAGAAGCTGTAGCTTAGGTAGTCATATTGTAATTGGTGTCAAGTATGGGATGTTTGGAAAGGAAAAAGTAAGACTAGGTGATATATGGAGTATATACTGTGGTAAGGAGTAGAAGGGTAGGTAGTTATATTAGGATAGATACCCTGGAGCCTGGATGTTTATCTAGGTAATCTTACTGCCGCTTATCTTGTTCCCGTGAGACCGCCGCGCGGGCCCTGGCCCGTGGTTGTGGAGACGAGATCTTCATTATATTTTTGGACCCCTGATCCGTCGAACCTTAGCTAAAGATCTCCTCGGCTACTTATCAGCGCAAATCAAATTCTCATCGCCGCTGCAACACCAAAATATTGCCATCATGGAAATGCTGTCTCCTGTCTCTCTGCAAACAAGGAGTTCCCAGTGCATGGCTAAGGCTACCCCACTACTGTACCGGTTGTTGAATCGTCATTGCACCGTTGACAAGATTATTAGTATCTTTACGTAACAACGGTTGGTGGCAAGCTCGCCCTCTAGATTCAGATATGCAATCTTATATGTGTAAAGTCTCTTACGAGAAGCTCACTCGCCACAGATAGAGATGCACAAGCACAAGCACTGTCAAGCATAGGCAGGCATCGGTTACATGCCACACGATGGAGCGAGACAGATAAGACGCATGCAAGAAGACACACCAAGAACCATCAACCAATGTCTCCTGGCCTCGTTTACCAATAGCCTCATCGGAAACCCTTCCACCGTGCTGCACTCGGCCCAATTTTCTAATTCTTTGCGCCTTGTTTCCGGAATTGGCGTCGACGTCAATTCCTTGACACATGGGGCTGATGCCATTCGCGCCTTCCGAGAGACACAATACACTACAAGATCGGTGGAAGTAGGTATTCGTTGTTCATCCCTTTACGTCTCGATTACCACCTACCTGGTCAACTACTGTACAGTACCACTACATTACGTTCTTTCTTACCACAAACCTTGATCGCCTCTGTCTTATTATTCAGAAATATTATGCTTTCATGCCCTAGATAGATGGGATTTTCGGCAGAGGAAGCCGCACTTGCTTTTCATACAGTATCTTCTACCTCCTACTTTTCCTCAATCTCTTCATTCTTGGATCCAATCAATGTTTTTCTGTCACTCAGTTGTATCTGAAATTTAATTTTCCATCTTTCAATTTCAATCGAGGAGTCCCGACGTCATCATGGACGACCAAGATTCTTCCAATTCGTCCTGGCTTCCCAAATTCTTCCCGTCCAGGACAGCCACACCGACATCTACCCCACCAAACGAACGAGAACGGAATCGGGAACCCCTTCTCCCAAAGTCGAAATCCATCAACACCAATAATGCACAGTCCGTATCTTCCTCTGCAACAGAAGGAGAACCATACAAACTAGAGAACGAAGATTCGCCGACCAAACAATGGCTGGCCGAATTCCTCCTCTTGCTTCGCGGCTCCCTGCCCGTAATTCTCGCCTATACTTTGCAAAACTCCCTACAGACGATATCAGTTTTGATAGTAGGTAGACTGAGTCCAGAGGCATTAGCTACAGCCGCATTTTCATACATGTTCGCCATGTCGACGGCATGGCTCATTGCGCTTGGTGGATCGACTGCTTTGGATACATTAGCTTCCTCGACATTTACGGGAAGCAAGAATCCTCACGATTTAGGAATCTTGTTACAACGATCGTTTATCGTTCTTACCGCATTTTATATCCCGGTGGCGATTTTATGGGCGTGTTCTGCGCCGGTGTTTAGACTTCTTGGACAGGAGGAGTATATCTGTGTTGATAGTGCGAGATTCTTGACGGCTTTGATTCCAGGAGGTTTAGGATATGTATACTTTGAATCCATGAAGAAGTATCTCCAAGCTCAAGGTATGGGCCATCCTCGCCTCTTCTCACTTCCCAATTGAATCTCCATGTTAACATCATTTCAGAAATCATGCATCCAGGAACGTACGTCCTCCTCATCACATCTCCTATCTCCGCTGGTCTAAATTACCTCTTCATTCACACCTTCTCCCTTGGACTCCTCGGCGCCCCACTCGCAACAGGCCTCTCATACTGGCTATCCTTCCTCCTCTTGGTCCTCTACTCCCGCTTCATAGCCGGCTCAGTGTGCTGGGGAGGCTGGACACTAGCCAGTCTCCAAAATATACGCACCTTTGCCCGTCTCGCAATCCTAGGCGTCGTCCATGTCGGTACCGAATGGTGGGCTTTTGAAATCGTCGCCTTGGCTGCTGGAAGACTAGGGACGATTCCCTTGGCGGCACAGAGTGTGATCATGACGACGGATCAGGTTATGAACACTATACCTTTTGGCATCGGCGTTGCGGCTTCTGCGCGCGTGGGAAATCTTCTGGGAGATAGGAATGCGAAAGGAGCAGCGAGGGCAGCAAATGTGGCAGCTTGGCTGAGTATCGCCATGGGCTTCTTGGTTCTCATCATCTTGATGTCCGTGAAGGATTTCTACGCCAAGATCTTCAACGATGATATGGACGTTGTCCGTCTCACCGCGGAAGTCATGCCTTACGTGGCGCTCTTCCAGATCGCGGATGGCTTGAATGGGAGTTGTGGGGGAAGTCTGAGGGGCATGGGAAGACAGCATATTGGCGCGGCGGTTAATATCGTGAGTTACTATATGGGTGCCCTGCCGCTGGGCATTTGGCTAGCCTTCCATGGATGGGGACTTACGGGGCTGTGGGTCGGTCAGTGTATTGCTCTTTATTTGGTCGGGGGCATTGAGTGGGTTGTTGTGAGGAGGAGTGATTGGGAGGTGCAGGTTGAGAGGGCGTTTGACAGGATGGATGAGGGGGCTAGGGTGGAGGTTGGTGGGGCGGGATTGCCTGGGGAGGGAAGGATGGGG